ATCATTATAAATATGGTATTTGTTTTTGATGTGCCACCCCACAACCAAAGACTACTGTACTAGGGAAAACCCAGAACAGGCTTACTAATAGAAACACTGATTTATTATGAATTCACTGTTTGTACTTCCAAAGGTTGTGTCCTATTCAGTGTATGGTGATAAAAAGGACCAGGACACAGCTGACTGTGTGTGAGAGAAAGCCCTGGAGCAGGCTGGGGAGACTCTTAGATCTTGTGACACAGTACCCAACAGTGCTCCCCAAGTCCAGAATTAGGTTTCTAGCTTAGATTTCAGGGCCTATTGGTTACAACATAGCCAAACTTTACTTTAAAAATAGTTGTACGTGTCCTTTAGAAATAGGGCTCAGCAATCAGACATAAACAGACTGCGAATCTGAACACCTGTTGGAAATACATAAAGACTGTCAGCCAGGAAATAAAGGATCACTTAAAAGATTAACACTTATCTCACAGTAGTAAATGTTGTAAATAATACTGAGCCTGGATTTCATTCATAAATCCATACTTAGACATAGATATACACTCTATACTGATACTGTAAATGGCCAAATTAACGTTAGCAATCCGATTTGTTTTTTGATTATTAAGTGAGACATTAAACACAATTATTTTGGACATACCTGCTAATGTTCATCTCCTACAGCAGCGCAGCCCAACAGTCTGTTGGTGACTGAGCCTCTTCACTTCACAGAGAGGCCATGTTCTCCTGAACCACGGAGGAAACTGCAGTGCCAAGATAAACTTCTGTCAGATAGTTTTTACTGGAGACTCTATGATCCCGCCTGCTACCCTCCCACTCTGACCTGATCAATGCCTACTGTTCAACAAGCCACCACAATTAAGCCCCTGTCTGGTCTCTGTGCGAGCACAGATGAAAACATTCCCACTTGTAGAAAAGCATCAAACCCCTCGCTTAAGAGGTGTTCCTGTTCAACTGAGTGGCAGCTCAAGAGTCCAGTGGGGATGCAGGTAGTCTTACATGTCAGTGTGATCTAAATATAATTCACGTTGATGGGAGTGGCTTTGTTGTCACTCTCATGGTGACCCTTGACTGTGTGGAGGAGCGTCAGACACTGTAGAGCCTTCCCTAAGTGCTGCAGTGAACATAACTGCATGTTAAGTGACTGATAGGCTTTAAGCACGGTGGTCATATGTACAGAGAAAGATCTACAGACTTGATCCTGTTTAGACTGTGTCATCTGGAAGTTCTTTATTCTTTGTGTCAACTAAAAGGTTAGCGAAACCCCTCATTTGCAGCATCATGTTGCTGTGTTGTAGACCATATAACAATTATGGGAAATAGGACTCCGGTTAACAGTTATTTTATTTGTTGATTATCCTTCCTATTGTTTTTATTGATTAATCCTTTTGTCAAGTAAAATGTAAAAAAATAGTGAAACATGCCCTGTGTGATTTCTTCGGGCCAAAGGTGATGCCTTCACATGGTTTGTTATATATAAACAACTGTCAAAAAATCCAAAGCTATTCATTTTACTATCATGTACGACTAAGAAAAGTGTCAAATCCTCATATTTAAAAAACATTAAAGCAGAAAATGTTTGACTTTTTTGCTGAAAAATAGTTGCCAATTCATGTTCTGCTGATTGACTAATCCATTAATCGACTGATTGTTGCAGGGTGGCAGGCTCTAGTGGAAAGTAACATTTACATTAAGTAAAGTAACAAGTACATTTACTCATGTGTTGTACTCAGAGGTATACTTTGGACAACTTTCGAACCAGGTCTGGCCTGCTTGTCTGCTGGTTATCAATGACATAAAATAACACATTTTAGGTAGTGCGCAGAGTTAACAGCAAGGCAGCTCAAGGGGAAACCAAACACTATTCATCTGCATACACTCCCCACAACACAGTGACACAGACCTGGTTGAAAATCAGCAAAGTATACCTTTAAGTACAATATTGACTTCTTCTTGTTTATATTTGAATTTTACTATATTTCGGGGGAAAATATTTCATTTATTTGGCAGCTGTTGTCACTTTTCTGATATAAATCTTTATCCAAACTCATGATCAGCTTTACACACACACACACACACACACACACACATAATCGACACAGAGCACGCTAGTTTTTTGCATGTTTTTAGAGCTATTTTTATTGCTTTGTTTATTGTGATGGAAAAGCCATTTGGTAATGAAAATAACAATGTCAGTATTATATCACTGAAAACTTTTCTTGGAAAATGTGCTAATATTAAACAAGATGACTATTGATTTATAGAGAAGCTAAGCTGTGTGGTAGCTAACTTTACCAACACAATAACTGACTGTTTTACCATAAAAAAGATTATTATCATAACCTTTATTTAAACAGGGAAGGCCATTGAGAGCAATCTCTCTTTTACAAGGATGCCCTGATTACAGTACATACCAAAAAAAGCAAACAAAAGTTAAAGTACACGTCAACAAGTTATAAAACAATAGAAGAATCCAAAGGTTACAATATGAAAGGACATCAGCATAGGAATCAATTCACAGAAAACACATGCAGTCACACTGCTCTAGGTGGGCCAAAAGGGATTTAAATTGGTTAAAAGAGATTAGCTTATCTTATTTTACAAGCTTCTGCAGATTGTTCCACTTGTGTGGTGCATAGAATTTAAGAGCTTGTTTCCAGGTCTCAGTATTAACATCATGATTTTCTCGAACCATTAGAATCTTCATAACCAAAATAATTTCCTTATCTACTCATTTCAACAAAATGTGTTCGGCCAGGACTGAGATGCACCACAGATAACATTGCTTACACACAGTCACCACTAACACTAATCACACACAGGAATAACAGATTGGAAGAATTTGTTTTCAGTACTGCTCTGCCAATATGCTTCTCGTCAGTCTGAACTCTATAGATGGTGTGTATCGACGAGTTCCATAAAAAGAGAAGTGTCCTCATGCTCGTTCATGGCAGGTCCAGCTGTCCTGGGGTCAACCATTGTCACCCATGCACTGACCCCTTACATGGCCGAGCTATTGATAACCCAAAACTGTGCACTCTGGCCTTCAGAAGGAGAGCTTAATCAGCCTGAGACGCTTCCTCACAGGTGACAACATGGCTCTGAGGATCTCTCGTCTGAAGATGGTGACAGCGCCACTGTAAATGTGTAATTATTTTTCATTCATGTGTCTTTTTTTTCTCTCCCAGTCACAGTGCCGACAGCTGAAGAGAGTCACAGAAAGTGGCACCGCTGTGACTGCAGCTTCATTTCCTCTCGCAGATAACTGCTGCTCTCTGCTGATTTCAGATATTACATGAACTGTTTCCACTTAGTCTGGAAATCCCATCAAAATACGCCAGAACAATTTCAACCTATTATATGTTGGAACACTTCCATTGGAATCAAATTGGACAATTTAACAAGTCAAAGCCATTTCACATGAGTCATTTCAGAAAGTACAATCATTTTTCTCTGAACCTGTAAATTATATTTTAGATTTGGTGAGAAAACCTAGTAAGAATAACACAATTACACAATCTCTGTTTGATTTTATTCTACTGTGTATGGACAATATATAAACATCCAGCTTCAAAATGAATGCATTTAAATAACACGTTTAGCAATCACTAGTACTTTTCAGAAAAAATTGTTTGAAATTCAAGTTTTTTTTTATGTTGTGAGTAATTGCTTTGTTTATATCTGACTGTCTACTATCTGTATTAAACAAACACCATCATTTTATGTGTTTTCCATGTATTAGTAAAACATCTTGCTTATAACAGCTGAAGAAAAGCCATGAATCCCCCGGTCCCCCGATTTTGGCAAAAGCATGACATTTGTGTTCATATTTGATGTAAATAGTATAATATTATGAATTAAAACGCCCAAGTGTAGTATTTTCAGCACACTTCTCCGACACACTTTGATGATTTGAATTAGCGTGCATCACATTTCAGTATTTAAAGCTGGGGAAGGCAGTTGAATTTTGGTGCCACTGGGCAAAAATCCCATGATAAATTTTCAGCATGTTGTAATTTAAGTGGAGCGAGAGAAAACTAGACTTTTGCACCTCCCCCTGGCACCATTTCCAGGCTTTAGTGCTAACCCAGGATTGGAGACATTTTTGGCTAATCACTGATCATCTCAGAGAGAGAATGTTCCTACTGGCTGTTCTACAAATGTAAATGAGCGTACATGTCTCTTCAATGGTGGAGAATCCTGTAGAAAAAGCTAATATTCCAGCATTGGCAGCAACTGCCTTCAATGAAAAGTAACTCAAAAAAGGAAGATTTATCCAAAAGAGAGTCTAAAAGAGAATCTGTCAATAAACAAAACAAAAGAAATGTCAATATTGGCGAAATGTTTCAGATATGTTGATAAAAATGTTGCTAAAATGTTAGCCTTCTGCTAACGGGAGCTAATGGCTCACACCTGTGGCTTCCAAGTAGAACCTCAAACCACGGCGTGTCCTTCGCCTCACTCCCTGCTGCTACAGACCACCTCACCAGGAGGAGAGCAGCTCCGGGGACGGACCCCTAATCAGCAGATGCAGCAGCACAAATCCAGCCAACACAAACCCCAGCTCTGGGAGACTGAACAGTCTGACTCCACACTGAATCGTGTAACAGGTTAGACTCCACGCTGCTGCTGACCACCAGGGGGTTTGCGCTGGATGAAACTGAGCCACTATAGCCACTGACCAAAGTTCCATCTACGGAGCTGCTGCCAGCTCTCCTCCTGGGAAAGCAGTGCACAGCAAGTAACCCCCCATGTTAAAATGCCCAACTTTACAGAAGAAATAAACATGTTTACAGCCTGGTACAAAAATGGCTTGGCTCTCTATACAGTAAGCTTATTTTGCCCCCAATGACAACTGTACAGGAGTGACTTCTATAGAACTCATCTCTTTACATTTTATCAAGGCTCAAAATTACTCATATTTAAGGGCAGGGCCACTTGAGTGACAGGCTGTCTGCGAGGTGTCACCACAGTCTATAAGTCAGATCCACCCCTTGCTCCTCTACAGCGCCAACCTCTCATCCAAATATGGTCACTTCTGGCTCCAAAAATCCAAGATGGTAACAACTAAGATGCCAAAGTTGAGGCTCAGCAATGGGAGTCCACAAACCCATGGGTGACGTCACTGTAGCTACGGCCATTATTTTATAAAGTCTATGGGTCTGATATACAGAGAGAGAGCGGGGCAAGGAGGGGCTGAGCAGATCAGATGTGTGCAACTACACAATGACACAAGATGGGGAATGGGAAAACTCTGGGTTTCAGTGTGATGCATGTAAATTTGCCTTTTATCTGGTGGGAGGCTTTTCCAGATTTCTGTCTACCCCAGCTTTAATATTTTCATAGCAGAACCAAGAATCTTCATCAAAATCAAAGTCCACTTTTTGAGCATCAAAGTCCATGAGAATGAGAGCCTTTAATGTGGTCAGCTGGAATATTGCTTTATACAATTAGATTTAATTGGTGTTAATTTGGCCTGTCATCAAGGTATATTATGTCTGTATACAGTTTCAAGGCAGATTATGTTGATGACTGTAGTTCCTGTGGGAATTCTTTGACACCAGTTTGACATCACCATGTCAAATTATAATGTACAGTATATTGTGTGCACTTTACTCCCATGTTAGATTAATGGCTATCTCCTGGGTCTAAGGTCACATGTATGTCCCTTTGTGCAGGTACATAATCTGTTTTGTTAGTATTAGCAGAGCTTTTGTTGGATCCAAGCCCCCAAAGTCGAGTCTCCAGCGGTGTGCAAATGCTTACTGCAGGCCTTCCCCGCCAAGAAGACCACCTCTGCAATGTTGAGCAGAATACAAACCCCTGACGCAGCCAACATGAACACGGTAAAGACAGTCTTCTCTGTGGGCCTCGACACGAAGCAGTCCACCGTGTTGGGACAGGGATACGAGTCACACTTCACCAGCCGGATCATCTTGTAACCAGGGTAGATCATATAAAACACATACATAAAGGTGACCTCGAAAACAATACGGAACAACAGGCTGATGACATACGTCCACCAGAGAGCCCCTGAGATTTTCATCTTCTGGGTTTTAATCTGCTCCAGGTCTTTGGGGTTAGACCGCCCTGACAGTTTGTAGAGCCTCTTGTCGACATGGCGGCGGTGGGCCACATGCATGGCTACCAGCAGGGCAGGGGTGGAGACCAGGATGAGCTGGAGTGCCCACAGGCGGATATGGGAGATGGGGAAGAAGTGGTCGTAGCAGACACTGTTGCAACCCGGCTGCTGGGTGTTGCAGGTGAAGCCAGACTTCTCATCGCCCCACACGCTCTCCGCTGCAACCACCAGAACCAGGATACGGAAAATGAACAGGACAGAGAGCCAGATGCGTCCGATGCCTGTGGAGTGTCTGTTCACACCACTGATGACAGCATAAAACGATGCCCAGTTCATCTTTGGTTCCGGGTCTGTTGGAGGAAACATCAAAGGATCAACAGCTGGAAGTATGTTGTGCTGAATATTGTTTACTTTCTGTCTTTTTTTTTATGATTTTCCAGTACAAAAAGACCACAATGCAACACAAGGCAAAACAAATCAATATTTAGTCATTGTGTAATAGGACACAGAATAAACTGAACAAATATCCTGGGCACATTAAAGTATAAACAGAAAAAAATCACACAAACCAATAAACAAAAAGAAAAGTACAAATAAATTACAACATGAATGCAACATTTTCATAGTAAAAATAGGAGTACTGTGTCTTTCTTTGTATAAATTACAAAAATGAAACTGAACTTCCTGTAGTAATTATCAGGCCTTGTGATTAGAGATTCAAAAGAGGTAATGTCGTAGACTAACATCAAGTTTTCAGCAAAATCTGCCATGTCTAACTCTTCCCCTGGTGGAGAACTATGCGTGAAGCGCTGATAAAGCCATTGAAAGTCCAAAAGACCTGTCTCCTAATAAACACAGCTGGGAGATTCTGGCACTGATCGTGTTGTAGTCAAGAGAACCAAGACCAGACAAGTATGAGTCCCACACTGCATGACACACTTAGAATAAATTGTGGAGCATACAAACCATAGGCATTGCACATATTTATCTGAAAGATCCAAATTCTCATTAAAATAGCAATAGAAAACAAATAAAGATTCTTACTTATTCACTTCTCGTATCAACATATACGTGTGTATTTCTAAGTGTAGTATGAGATATGTCTTGATAAAGTTTTTAAAAGGCATTGCAGAGGTATACATAATATAAATAAATTTTCCTTTGCTTTCTCTGTGCAAACAAATATAAACACTAAGGAACTAAAATCAACTTAACTAACTTTATTCAACACAGTTGAGGCAGTTTAGTGATATCTCAGTTGTGGTATGTCAGGTCTTGAAATAAAATCTCAGGTCCTCTTTGTCCAAGTCCGAGACGAGACCGAGACCTTTAAAAGGTGCTCTTAAAAGAGACCAATCTGGAGTACTAGAATACAAGCAGTGGTTTATGCAACCACTCACCAATACTCATTTACAAAAGAATGTTTCCACACTAAATGAATCAAACACTACGCTTCCAACCATTAGCAGCTACCATGATTTATATCTTGACATGTATTTACTTTAACAACTTCTTCCCAAATATACCATTACCACACAGAATATTTGTCTCATTTTTATAAAAGATTGAGACTGACTTTGCACTCGTGGACAAATGAAGCTCGCTCTTGCTTCCACTTAATACAGTACAACCTTTATGCAGCTCCTTATTAGTAGATATGCTGAAGATATTGTTTGGTTTGCTTTATACGAATCACTAACTATTATTCTCTTAATAAGGTGACATAAATGTGGCGTCAAATTGATCGTAGCAGTTACTGTGATATTTGAATGGAGAAAACATTTTTTAACACGCTATTCAAATATTTAGAGTTACTCTCATTTTAATTGCAAAGAAAAAAAACACTTGCTCATATCTTAAAATGAAGTAGTGCTGTAGTTTGGCTTATTCCTTTTGCTTATATTTGTACTTCTATTGATATTCTAAGTACGCTCAAAGCAGGTCTCATGGTCACATCAGATTTTAACAGTTTAAATAGACAATATTATGGTTAAAAGATGATTAATTAATTAGTAGATCTACAAAAAAATAATCAGCCACATTTTTGAGCCACTTTGCAAGCAAAAATACCAAACATTAGAGTTTCAGCTTCTAAATGTGAGGATGTGCTGCTTCTCTTTTCTTATGTGATAAACTTTGGGGTTAAGATCTCTTCAAATCACGGGCAAACAAACGATCTGAAGAGATCGTCTTAGCTTTGAGAATTTTTAAAAAATATTTTATCATTTAAGTGATAAGCAGAATAATTAAGCAAAAAATTGGTACATCAATAGATAATAAAAGCAGTCAGTACAGCCTCACAGGGAAGAGGTCGCAGGTTCAATTCCCAAGAGCATCTGTCCTGTCCAGCGATGACCAGAAATTCATCAGACTGAAAGATTATTAAAGAAACTACAAATATCTTGTTTGGTAGCAAAATTAAATTTGCAACTTTAGTCTGAGTGCAAATTAAGTACTTACATAATAGTTAACAAAATACCAAGACACTAGTACACTCTAAAGTGAACTTAGCTTAGAGCACTTTGGATCCTGGAATAAAAATTAATCATACTTTCAATTTTCTACTTTCTACTTATTTCTTCAGTGAATTATAATTATATGTATATTTTTCAAGATCAGAATTTATTTCAAGCTTAAAAACCCTCCATAATGTTTTTATTTTTCTCTGTGCTGATCATTATTGGTTGTCCTGAGTCCCTACTGTGCTTGAATTTCCAGTCTAGTGTAAATGTCAGAGTTGTTACCCGGCTCAGCAGGAGGTGTAAGAGGCATAGGAGGCAGCGTGGAGGACAATGTTGACCAGCTGGTTTGGCATGGATGTGAATCCAGAGAAGAAGGAAGCCTCTCTGCCCCCCTCTGCAGTTGGCAGGCCACTTAAGAGTGCAACACTGAAGTCTGGCACCATGCGTCATGTGACATGCTTTCACCAGTAGCTATGGTGTAGCATGCAAAGTGGGCATCTGCACCCTATGTACCGGTGTCTGTAGTACTTTCTAATTCTTGGCAGGGAAACAATTTGTGGTCCAATAGTATTTTTAAGGAGGGATTCTTCTAGTTTTAAACCTCTGATGATTTAGAGAATCTGAACAGTCTACTTAGACTGTACTTTGTGACTAGCAGTATAGCTATACATAAACGTGACTTGGGGACTACAACAGAGTCTGTTTTGTTTGAGTGACACTATAAGAAAGGCAACATTTTTCCGGTCACAGTTTTATCTGTAACTTTCACCTATAAGCAACAATTTCCCTAACTCTTCAGAGTCAAATTAAGACCTAACAGTAAAGCATTAAGTACCCGTAAACACAAATATAACCATCTGAACACACTGAGAACAAACTGTCTTGTCCTCATCTACATGACCTGATAACAGAGTGAGAAAAGAAGCAGACTTACCTTCAGCTGTGCTTCAGATTAAAGCTCATCCAGAAACATTTACGTTGACATTAGCAGATTTTTTTTTTCAATCTGTGACTGTGAATAAGAGTATCAGAGCACCATGACTTTGCATTGCTAATGATTTCTCTCACACTAGCCACTGCCCTGCACTGGAGAGGTCATATGCTTCTGTGCGCAATATTTGCATACAATAGCCCCATTTACAGAGACCAAACAAATGGCTTCAGAGCTCAGATCAAACGTTTTAATTTCTGCTCAGCTGAGGAATCTGTGTGGGGACCACAGTCTGTCCTCTCGTCCTCATTGTGCTGTGTTCTGCAGGGGAAGTGGAGGGAGTTTTTGACGCACTGTGGAGTAAAACATAAAGGTCTAAAACAATGAATGACCCATACAATCTTTAGATAAGAGAACAAGAGGTTATTATCATAATAATCATCTAGTTTATCTCCACAGCCTTTACATCCACATTGTTGCTGCCCGCCTAATATCAAACCACTAACTCAAACTGCTTACTCTGTACTGGATGGGACCACAGTTTGACGTATTTCTGTGGGATTAAGTGCTCTTTTTAAAAAACAAACAAACTGAATAATCTCTTTGGCTCACTGTTTTTAGTGGTGAAGTGTTCAATTATTTCTACATAACGACTATATGTTTTAAGATTAAAATCTACATATGTATTGAAGCATTTCCACAAATCCACACACACATTTTTAAAATTACTTTTTGTTTATTTTCACCTTTTAAAGGTTCCCTCATAGTACATTTTGTGCTCCTTTGCATTAAGTTCTGATTTCCATTCTAATTTTTTTTTTTAATCACCCCTGATCTGTAGGAACCGTTATGTTCCAGTCCAGTTTAGGGAAAAACTTTGCAAATACTACAGAAAAGAGACATGATACATTACTCCTTTCAACAGGCACTCTTCCCCAAAGAGCTCAGGGGAGCACTGCTGCAGCTGCTCTGTCTGGCTGTGTTGGTTGAAACTGTGACTGTCGAAACAACTACTGGGATTTGAACCTGCAGTGTATTTATCAGATGACAGATGTGCTACCAAAAAACTGAAGGGGTTCAGGTGTACTACAGCGCTCAGCCAGCATCCATGTCAGTTTACTGCACATATGAATACCTTGTACGTAGTACTATAAACTAATGTTTCACAACAGTTGAAGACCCATCTTTTCATAATGGCCTTTGTCCCACCCTAAATTGTCTAGTGCATGTTCCCTGGTATGTTTCTGTTTAAGGCCACAGTGGCCTGTATTTGCTCGATGTCTTACTTTCTTTTGTTGCTTTGTTTTATTTGTTATATTGCCTTTGTTTTTATTGATTGCATGTTTTACTGTTTGATTGCCTGATTTTATTTTGTGAATAATTTCATTTATGTAAAAGGTGCAATATCAAATAAATTATGTTATTTCATTATAATCATCTCAACTAAAGCACGGCCACAATCACAGCATTTGCCTCAGTCAGCCTCGGCAGCAGCCTTAAGAACTGATTATGATTATGCTCTACTGTATCCACTGGATTTCCAAGGAGAGTAAAGATCTCAGTAGAAATAATAAAGCTCCATGCTGTTGTAAAATGCACACGTTTTCTTTTTGGAGTGTAAAACAAGCTTCAGATGAATAAAATAGGTCTGGACACTGTTGAGAGCAGACTGTAACCTGAAGCTGTGCAAGAGAGCTGGCAGCATACGAGATGGACATGATGAACTTTGCAATGTTGATTTTAAAAATATATATTAAATATGTACAGAGTAAATAGTAGGGAGCCTAATTTTGATCCTTGTGGGACACCTTATCAAGCATGCAGATTTGATTTGAAGCTATTGGCAACAAGAGTCTGAACTCTGAAAGATGTGATCTGAACCAGCAGTAAGCAGAATTAAAAACCAAGTAGTTTAAACAAACTATTATGATCAAATGCTAGCAAAATGTCACTTTCATGACCATAAACTGTACAATAATCCAATGATAGTAGTCCTTGGATGTGAATAACATTTGGTTTGAGTCAGGTTAAGGTAAGGATATCTCCAGGAAATCAATGCAATGTCCTCAGTGTGTGTGTGTGTGTGTGTGTGTGTTCATAATCTTGTTTTATGGCACCCTAGAAACCACCATCTGCATTGTTTGATGCATTTGGCCTCTGACCAGCACTTAGAATCTGCTGCACACATATACACCTTTTCCAGTAAATTAGCTCTGGTTGTTGAAACTGTTCTGTTTGGGATTTTTAAACCTTGGTGCTATCTTTCGTACCAGCCTGCATTTCCACAAGTTTTGAGTGGAACCATTATAACCAAGGCTGTGTCATCGAAGGAGGGCGATGAACAACACACAACGGAAGTTAACAGTACCAGCAAAGTTGCAAATTGAATTTATTACCTAAGAGCTTTTGTTCTGTAAAAAAAAAGTATGGTACAACTACGAATAAGACCTCTGCATGCTCTTTTTCTTGAAGATTTCTCACTTGACTTCTACACTGTTGTCTTTCCAATCTGTAGAATATGACACGCCCACCGATGTTGTAAAGGTTCACACCTCAGGTTAAAAACAACCTGCTATTTTTTGGTTCCAGCAGTGAACCAACTTTTCTAGTTCCGAACCAATTTATTTTTGGTCGAAATGCTCTGAACAATTCAAAATGAAGTGGTAAAACCAGAAAGAAACCCGTTCCATGTTAGTGGAAAAGGGGTTATAGTGAAGGTTGTAACATGATAAAGGCAGTACTGGAATGTAAGGACATTTACTCAGGTACTGTACTTGAGTACTTTCCTGGAGAATTCCCATATTATGCTACATTATACTGCTACTCCACTACATTTTGGAGGCAAAAATTGTACTTTGTACACCACTACATTTATCTGATAACTTCATTTACTAGTAACTTTGCAGATTTATATAATACAAAATACAAATAATTAAAAGAAAACCAAATGTGATATTTTATTATAACGCACGCTATGCAGCAGAGCAATATGTAAAATTAACTTCACCTTTACCAGCTGCAGCATTTAAGTGTTGTACACATTAATACATCACTAATTATGATCCAGTAATAAAATATATATGATTCTGAAATGGGCCATTCTGCATGATGAATACATTTATTTTAGTATATTTTGTTACTAATACTTTTGTTACTTTTACTTAAGTAAAGTTTTGAATGCAGGAGTTTTGGTCATAACATACTATTTCTTCACTGTAGTATTTCTACTTTTACTGAAGTAAAATATCTGAGTACATCTTCCACCACTGGATGAAGGGCTGTATATGTGACTGTATTGTTGACTGTCAGTACTGCCTTCCTATCAGAGAGGTGTTACCAAGAGATGTAATTATGTGTAAACACTCCTACAGGATGTCGAGATGATTTATTATCTCTCATGACCTGTTCTGGAACGTCTCTAATACTCCTCATGTTGTGTTTGTTAATGACGGCCCAAGGACAAGTTTTAATCCAGGGGTGGGCAGTGTTTCTGACCTGATGGATAAAGCTTTTCTAAGTCCCTGTACAAATATCAGTGACCTATGATATTAATGTGAATTAATGATAATGCTATTTGGCAGCATTGGGAATGTCAACAAACTGACTAAAGGCTGTATTCTTGTAATGTTGTTGGTTTATTCAAATGAGGCATTTAAAATTGTGTCTGTGTGTTTGCAGGCTTACACTTGTCTTCTGCTTCAGTTGAGTCTGAATGATGACATCTGGAGGTCATTAACAGTAATTGCAACATTTGAATAGGAATTCTCTGCAGATGTGAATTCAGTGTTGGGAAAGTGACAGTGCACCAAGAGCAACTTGTTTAGTCATCATACTCCACATTCTTCAAATGCAACGCCTGAACACAGGCCTCTGCGGAGACAAACATGTCTGCAGATCTGTCACTGGGTCATAAGGTTCAAAACATCTGTCATCAGACACTGATTAATATGTAATCAAGGAAATTTTCAGTCATATCTTGATATTTCTTTGATATTTTTTAAGTGGCACTCAACTAAATCACGTGATCCTATTGTACTTTAGTACTATTGTTTTTGTGCAATGAAGTTTTACACTGATGCTTCCATTGTGTATGTTCCAAAATTTTGCAGCATTACTGTAGGAGGGACGCTTCTGTGCTTCTGTAAGCTACATCTGGTGAACCTGCCAGTGCAACAAAGACCAGATATATTACAGTACTTAATCCTGGAAAACACACCCAGTCACATGCAGGTGTGACCTGTCTCACTGTTGAATAATAACTTCTCATGATATGTTCAGGGCCCCATTCATTATTGTGTCCCTGCAGGTGTGTTTCTATCCTGAGCCGCTTTGAATGAAAATGATTTTCCTTCAACCCACAGTGCTACAGTGGCTTTGATTTAAGACCTATAAAGATATAACCTTTATTTAATTTATTCAGGGAAATCCACTGTCGGTCACAGCAGCAGTTGAGGGTTAAGGGCTTTGATCAAGAGCTGTGGTTCCCAACTGTTTTTATGTCAAGAACACCTATTTGATAATATTTCGCTTCAGGGACCTGCATCTTAAAAAGATTTTGGTTGTTAGATATGATTAAGACCAGGATAATACAGCTGTAAACTAGTTAATGAGATAACCATGGAGAAAGTTAAACTTCTGGTCAGAATAGTCACTCTTGACTCTTACTTACTCAGGGCTTACCTTTAGTGTGAATTAAATAGTAAAACTATTCCCCAGTTTTCTGGGGACCCCCTGGAACTCCCCAACCTCATTGGAGGCTGTGTGGTGGTGATTGCACCTAAATTTATCCTGTTTATGGTCATAAACCCATTCTTTGCTGTTCACAACCTTTCAGGCTTGTGATCCCTTTGAACGCAATCTACTGTCTACTAGCAACAACTACTTGTAACCAGTTCAAGCAAAAAGTATTTTCCCCTTTACTTTCTTAAATTATATTCTAAGAGTAAAAATGTACCTTTTACTGGATAATTTTCTTTCTGAATAATTTTAAGATAAAATTATCCAGTATTTCCTCCCTAACTGTGACCTCTTACATTTATCTTGCAATCGTTTATGGAGGTCCCAACCACTGCTTTAGGTGAACAATGCGCCTCAAGAAAATATGGAGAGACTGTCTTTACTTTAGCTGCTGACTATGTGCAAAATGTAGCCTGTTGTATCTCTAATATCAGAACCATATAAAGCACAATGTAATCTCCTGCTATTAATTATTTTCCTTTTATAAATAATGGTTGTATCTATATATCATATATATTTATAATGTATATATAATTACTGTGCTTGAATGATTTCTTCAGTCCCTCTTTTCCAGTTGTTATTACCCATTTATTTTGACTTATTTGTTGGTTCAGGATCCTAACAGAAGAGATTTCCGACAGCACTTGAAAGCAGCATCGTCAGCAGCAGCAGCAGCCCCTTTAAGAACCTCCTGGGTGTGGAAAAGGGGAAGTTTTAAGTGAGTCCATAGCCAGATGGTTACGTTCCGTTTAGCCTCGTATCACGCTCTTTGTGAGGATGTGAAACTCGAGAACGCGTAAGAAAAATACAAATATATTCAGTAACGTGTATATAATGATTTAATTGCGTGTGCGCACTTAATGAATTAAAAAGTGGTTTCAAGTCAAGGGAAAGGACGGACGGAGGTTTCATGAAAGTGCCAATCACTTCAGAATGGTACGCGTCCAAATGGATTCTAGCCGCTCTTCTAATCACGACACCGCAACAAGGAAAAAGTGGTAAAGAGGACCAGGATACAACTAAATTGCAGTATTAACTGCGCGCCAGACGAAGGAAAGAAGGAAGTGAACCAAAACCGTGGCTCTTCACTGTTTAGTGCACTTCATATTTGACCAGCGGCTGCCGCAGGCTCCCACGGACACCATGGTTTCTGCTCCTATGAACAGATGAGAGTGTGCAGTCGCTTCAACCGAGCAGCAATGAGCAGTGTACGGTAGACGAGCGTAGGCTGCGTGGCTCACCAGAACTAATTCAGTGCTTCTATTGTGTGAAACCCAGTTGTCCTGAAGATGGGGCATCCTCCCCTGGAGTTTAGTGACTGCTATCTGGACAGTCCGGACTTCAGAGAGACTCTCAAGTGTTATGAGCTGGAGTTGGAGAGGACGAGCAAATTCCTCAAAGAGCTGATAAAAGATGGCAACAGTGTGATCACTGCTATCAAAGGTAAGCATGCTTACAACTGTCTTTACATCAGCTTTTTGTTCGTTGCATGTGAATTTAGTGGCGTGATGACGTATGACATCAGCATCAGTGGGGCCTCTTTAAGGGCCTACAGGATCAATGTGGGTGGGGGGTGGGGGGTGCAAGTGCTCCCCTGGGTGAGGACCAAACAGCCTGCTTTGAAAGGCCATGGATCTGGTGCAGATGTGCAGGATGAGCGGCTCTGTTTGTTCCCAAACAACACAACATCTGTCTGCTTGTGTTGTCATCCCTCTGCTGCTGGTTGTAGAATGGGACCAGTGACAGCACCCAGTAAATGTGTATATGTGGGTCACTATGGCACCCATGATGGCCAACACTGTGTTTTTTGAGTGGCCAAGACACCATTCTGTCTGTCTAAATCACCAGTGACCAGCTTTTCACCTCGAAAACAGAAAGTGTCATTGTAGGTGCTGTGGCAGTACTGCAGAGTGGTGAGAGTCCTACTGTATATTCAGTCCAGATAATAGCCAGAGGTCACAAGTGCTCGTTGTTGGGGTGAGCTGCACCAAGACATATTCATGAAAGATGAGGACTCACTTAACTTCATTTTAAACACAGATCTGCAGCTCTGTGTGTTGGAGATGTGTCTGTCCTGCCCTGCACTTTGTCTGCAATAAAGGCCCCATAAAAAGGCACTGTTAAAGCAGGAATCCAAAATAAACAACTCATACAAAACACACAGTTTGTTCATGGAAAAAAGTATGTGAAATGATGTGAAGACTGAAAACTGTTCCATTACAGAAATAGGGATTTAAGGAGGGATTTAGAATATGATGTTAGCCAAGCGCCTCAGGCAAAACCCCCGACAATATTGATCTGACAGACTGTTTTGTTTTGATAATAAAACCCAGACAAAGCAGGGATAATATAGACTGCAAACTGTAGTGCTGATGAACTCTGCCAAGGGTGTCTATCATACTTTAGACTTTCCTACCAGAGAAAAAAGAAAAACACACAGTAGCAGTATTCCTGGTCTGCACTTAAATTTTTATGAGATTTGGGTTGAATTCAAAGGATAAAGAACTGTATATTGTATTCACTTCAGATGTTTTAAAAGGACTAAATGTTGTTTCCTTACAGGGTATTCTTTGGCTGTACAGAAGTTTTCCCAGACTCTCAGCACGTTTCAGTTCGACTTCATCGGTGACTCCCTGACTGATGATGAGATCAACATTGGTAAGATAATACAAACATGCTCCTTAACATAGTTTACATTTAGTGAACACTTCATACCTTCCTCCAGCAGGCTTTGCTGTTTACTTGTACCACATGGATAAATACACATTTGACCTCAGAATAAGCTGCTACCTTAAAGTTTGTGTGACCTTAGTGGAGAGAAACATTTTTGGCAGCCACTTGGGAATGCCTCACAACCTGAATGTAAAGAATCAGGAAACAAAACAGTTTGGAAAAACCTCCAGCTCAGTGACAAATGTGTTTAAAAAAAGAAAGAGCTGTAAATATTATCATCATAAAGTCTATTCTAATGCACATTTGCAATCTTTCCAACTGCGTTTCTTGCGTCAGACACTCAAGATAAGAATGTGTGATTATTTTTATTCCAGTCGTCATGTTTGCATTTTCATCCGCAGCTCAGTCGTTCCAGGAGTTTGCTGGACTTCTGCAGGAAGTGGAGCACGACAGGATGATGCTGGTGGGTTATCAACTTCCTCCTCGCTGACTCTGCATCCTATTTAAACGCTCATAAGACAATAGAAACCACATTAATATATCCTGCTGAAAGATAAAACCACTAGGAAGGAAACCTTTGGTATATTCTGTTGTGGATATCTAACTTATGTTTCTGTGTGATGCAAAATTAACACTAATTTGTGTACCGTGGACATTCTGTCTGTCTCTGTTGATTGAGATATGCTACCACAACAACACACATGCACATACCTAGATACTGAGTGTGTAAATGTGTGGCCTTGGGTGTGCTTGTTGAGAGGAATGCTAGTAATAGTTTTGCTATCACTTCCCCCCATGAGTTTCTTGTTCCCTTTTTGTAAAGGTTTCATATTACCTGCATGTTGGTCCAGTTTCATACAGTTTTTATCACTTTTGCTGATATTTCACACATTTAATTAGACAGTAAATACTAAATATTTTGTTCTCTGGTGTTCTAGCATTGTATTTTAACCCTTTAGCTTCATTTAGGTAATTTATATTGTCATTACACACTACTTCTCCCACATTTGTCCATTTTTACCAACACAACACCAATTCTCTCTTTGATCCTCTTGCACTTTAGCCATCAAGTCATGACAGTAGGAGTAGCAGTTCCTGTCGAACTGGGTTTTCTGGATTCAGATCTTATTTTCAAAATGGAGACCATCTAATAAATTGTGTTTGTGGTGGTGTGGAAGAGCAGCATTATTATTTTTCCCACACTCATACTGGAGATGTTTGTGCCTCACAGATATCCCACGTTGCCTACAAATGTACTGTGTGAAAGAGTGTGTCGTACATATGGCGATACAGTACGTACACTGTGTGTTTGTGCATGTAGAGTTGCACCACAGTAACAGCTGCTCCATGTTTGCCTGTCCAGGTCCAGAACGCCTCCGATCTGCTCATCAAGCCGTTGGAGAAGTTCAGGAAGGAGCAAATAGGAGTCACAAAAGTGAGTGTTTTCAGTGAGTCCTCCGCTGTAGTCAGGTCTCGAGTCAGCACTGAAAGCATTGTTCTGCTGTTGCTATGCATCATTGTACAACATACCTTCCTGAAGCGCTTACACAGACCAAACAGGTTGTCAGGAGCTACTTCCCCAAATCTATTTGTGCGTGAAACATGAACCTGTTTAAGATCACTAATATATAGTCTGTTCTTCCTCTTTGACAGAAACTTTAATGTGGAAAGACATTTTGTTGAAAGCAGTTTTGTAGGTTGAGAACAGCTCATGTTTTTCCAAGGTTAGGCCCCCTGTGCTGCTTCACCAACATTTTATTTTGCTTTTAAAGTCATCAGGGAACTCTGTGGGATATCACCTTGATTATTCACAGTGACATTTGAGTTTCTGTCTGGTTGTGCTCTGGTGATCATAAGAGTTTCTTTCCACTCAGTGTATTTATTAACCAGCAGCTTTGTGTAATTCTTGCTGCTGTGCTGATGCTCATTTAGTCCACAAGTGGAATTGTAATGTGCATGAAATATACAGGTCCTAGATGACTTAGACAATTACTTCATGTTAAAACCATATTGATAACAAGTCATGTTTTAATGTATGGCTTATACAACAATGTTTCTGATTGTTCCAATAACAAAATGTAACAAAACACTGCAAATGATGATGTTGATTGGGGTTCAGTCAGTTGCTGCCCAAGCAAGCGCTGTACTTAACTTCTTCAATTTAGTTTCAACCACAGGTCTGTGGCGATTCACACACTCCAAATTATTGCTTTGCTGGCATTGGTGATGCAGTTGTCTGCTGACATCTGTCTGATTAGCTGCACGTCTGTGCTCAGCTCATAAGTGGTAGCTCAAACTTAAAGTAGTGCAGTGATATTTTAGTTCTGTTTGACACAAGGTGCATAATACGTTTGACTTGTCAACTGAGCCCCCTGGGAGTTTTTAAAAGTGAAATGAGGCATTAAAAAGTGTTGTCGTTATTTTCCATTACTGTGGCAGCAGGAAGCAGGAAGCCGTTGCGGCAGCTTGATTATGGCGCGATTGACACAATTTTAAAAATAACTGACACGCTAAGTTCAAACCTCAGTCGCATTGCCATAAATGCGTTAACGCTGACAGCCCTAATAACAACAACAACAGAATAATGTCCTGGTTGAGAAAATCAGGGTTTTCTTAATGAGCGGAAAAAGGGAATTATGTCCTTTACGATGAGTGCGAGTGAAAAATGCTCAAAAGAGAAGACAACAACAGAGGAAGTGTTGGAAGGGTAAAATTTACTACAACAGCTTTTCTTTTCTGCGTACTCCCAGAGTCCTACTAGATGAACTCAAGTATGTCTGCATTGACACTGCCTGTCATGTTTCAAATGTGTCCTTTTAAACTGATTTTTAGTTGGATGTTAATGAACTATCTTTAGGTCGGTTTGGTCCTATTTGTTGTCTAAAGGCTGTAGTTAGTAACTTCTATGAAAATAACTTATTTGCTGAAGTGGTCACTACATACACACAGTATTATATGTGACAAATAGTCTATGAAAAAATGAAGACCCTCCTCCTACTTCTTCTAATCACATTTGCTAGAAACTCTGAGTTGAGGAGTCTCTAATGCAGCTGTCAATCATGTTTCTGAGATTGCATTGGCTGTTTCTCAAATGTTTTCAGAAAAGTATTTTAGTGTACTGTTTAGCTGTAAAATGAGAATGTTTGTGACCTAGTTGCCATGTTGGAAAAAGTGGACTGAAATACCAAGCACTGCCCACTGCTTGGACCATCGTCAGCTATATGTAACTCCTTGGCTCTGATTGGTTGTTTTCGTTCATGTGGTTTTGCCTTAAGAAGCGATTCAAGCAGGCAAAGGAGTATTTTTTTTGCACAGATCATGTCTCATATACTTCTGTGTGGATATAGTGACAGTTTCAGCAAAAGTTATTTTTAGAAACATTACCAACCACAGCTTTAAAACTAATAGTGTTCAGGTGTTACAGCTGGTTCCGTAAGTGGATGTACGTTTTGTCAAATAAAATTGTATTTTTCATTCTTTCAAACTAGTAGTGTCCCAGTTAAAATTGTAGACAATTTCAATTGGGAATAACTGAGTGATATTATCTTATTGCAGGTGTCAGAACATATATCAGTTGATAAGTAATTTCAGCACAAAAATGCCATAAATATGTGTATAAAAACAGTCTCCATTACTTACTCTGCCCACCACAGAGCTGTTTTTAAACTGCAAAACTGCTTGGTACTATCTACATAATTATTTAACAAAAATCCTTTTTAAAAATATTTTTGAATGTAAAAAATTTACTTTGGCTGACAATATAAAACATTTCAAGCCCTCAAATATTGGTACCAAAATAAGAATTTTGCAAGTATTAGTTTCCAAGAGTAGCTTATGATTTGAATGAAAGGATCGGATACCTAAAAGTTTCAAAACATTATCGCTATACCATACTGTATTCAAAATGATCTCATTTGTCCTGCAGGAAAAGAAAAAGAAGTTTGAGAAAGAGAGTGAAAAATATCACTCCCAGGTAGACAAACACCTGAATCTCTCCGCCAAGAAGAAAGAGAGTCAGCTTCAAGAGGTACGATAAGGATTCATCAGCTATATAGTGAAATGTAGAACTGAAAGCAACACAGAGGTCATTGTCTAATATGTCTTTACCTACTACAGGCTGATGATCTTCTTGACAGAGAGCGAGTGAACTTCTATGAATCGTCAGTGGAGTATGTGTACCAGATCCATCAGGTGCAGGACAGGAAGAAGTTTGATGTGGTGGAGCCGGTGAGTGCTGCCTGTGGTCTTTTTACTGCAACACACATGTAACTGGAGAGCGAGGAAGGAAATACACTACACTTTAAGGTCCAGTGTGTAGAACTTAGGGGGATATATTGGCAGAAATGGATTGTAATATTGTAAGTATGTTTTCTTGTGTATAGTCAGCTGAAAATAAGAATCGCTGTGTTTTCATTACCTTAGAATGAGCCGTTTATATCTACATAGGGAGTGGGTGCTTGTCTAGGAGTTCGCCATGTTGCACCACCATGTTTCTGCATTAGCCCTGAACAGACAAACCAAACATTAAAGGCGCTGTATGTAAGAATGTGGCCAAAACGGTTACTGCACTCAAATTCAAAATACTGCCGTGAGTCGTGTGTCCCCCCCCCCCCCTACAGATTCGAGGTTGCTGGACAGTGGCACGCTGGAGACTGATTTGTTTGCCCAAGGGCAGCTGCCATGGCAGGGCCGCGTCACCGCGTCCTTGATCTTTGGTTTTCCAGCGGACCTTTCGAGCAAGTCCGGCTTCTCTGCTGCTAACGCTGCTGCTGGGATACAGGGGAGGAGAAGCCGGCTGCTAATGCTGTGTAGCTACTGGGACACTGCTAATGCTGCTTGCCTTGCTGCTGTAGCTCAGTCGTAACTGTAACTGATGCTGAGACTCTACTGACTGTGTGACTGGTAGACGGCGGTGGGTGGCGCAACAGGTCAAAACACAAATTCAAAACATAAACATGATTTGCGGACCGTAAAATATTTTTTTAAATGTGAATATTCTGGCTGTACTATTGTTGTCGGTGAGATCAGTATGTTATATGAACATTATTCCTTAGTCTCTGTGACATATTAGGAGGATTTTATGACTATTTGCTTTAGATTTCTTACATATAGCTCCTTTAACTCTAGAAGGGCCATTCAGATTGCAACAGGCAACAAGCCTAAGTTTTTCAACATGAAACTGCTCTATTCAGTGTTTTAACTATGTTCATTCTGTGTTTAATCACCTGGTCCATGATTATACCGTCTGTGGTGGTCTGCAGATAATTCATCTCTTGGTAAAAATCTCCCAGACAATGAACACCTAAGGAATCCTGACTGAGAGTTTGCGCTTGGCACATGGGAGAAGTTTCAGCTGGTTGCAATCTGCAATCCTCACTGCTAGATGCCACTAAATTCTACACACTGATGATAGATGATAAATCAAAATGCCCCAAATTTTCCACCTATTCTTCTTGGCAGCGGTTCTTCTGTTTGGCTCTTTCAAAAGCAGTAACTCTTTCTTTGGTTGGACAGGTGCTGGCGTTTCTTCACAGCATTTTTACGCTCAACAACTTGACAGTGGAGATGACTCAGGACTTTATGCCTTACAAGCAAGAACTGCAGCTCAGCTTGCAGAATGTAAGTGGTGTTACCGGCAGCAAATCACTGCCATAAGTGAGATTTGATTTCCTTTAATGGGATGTCCATAAGATTTTAAAGCAGGTGTCTGGTTTTGCCGGCAGACGAGAAACCACTATGAGAGCACTAGCGAGGAGATGGAGGAGCTGATGAAGAGAATGAAACACCCATCCCAGATCAGTAAAATGCACAGTTTGCTGCCCATGGAGGGTTATCTGTACTGTCAGGAGAAGTGTACGTGTACTTGATGTTTATTCAGAAGCGTGATGCTTGTACTTGCTGGAATTCCCTCTGACAAGGCCTGACCTGTGTTTTTTCTCCCATCAGGGGCTTTGGGCGTGTCATGGGTCAAATATTATTGCAAGTATCACAAGGAGGGGAGACAGCTGGTCATGGTGCCTTGTGAACAGAAGCCTACTACTAAACAGGTGCTTCACTGAAAGGAAATATGTAATTATTACAATTCAACCCCGGACAAACATGCTCCAACATCCACAGTATCTGTAGCCAGTATATGTCATCACTCTGCTGTCATTGTCTCCATTACACGTACCAAGTTGGTTTGTCTTTCTTTCTGCAGGGCACGATGCAGCTGACACTGAAATCCTGCATCCGCCGCAAGACAGAGTCCATAGACAAGCGCTTCTGCTTTGACGTGGAAACTAATGAGAGGTTAGTGCAAACAAATCTGTGACACTGAGAGATGAGGCAACACGAAAGCCTTGTGGGATAAACAGGTCCGGGCAGCGAGGTGAACAGGTGGCTCACAAGGACAGAGTGTGGGGGCTAAATGGACTGTAGCCCAAACAATCCCTAAGCAACAGGGATGGGCTGGAAACAGATGGCAAACTCTGTGATTTTAGGAGAAGGAACATTACAAGCTCATATTTATATAAGCAGGCCATTCAGTACAAAATGCACCTGAGCCATAGGCTGTTCTGTCATATTTAGGTTTCTTGAAATCTGTGGAAATACTCGGAGTGTCAACGGGGTGTTTTTAAAGGTTTAAAAGCTGCTTGAATTATTCATTAATTGCTTAAAAAGTGTCTCTGAATGTTGAGCAACTAGTTTGTACCAGTGTGTGAACTGAACAACAGTACACTGAGGAGCTGGCCATTTGATAAACTGAAGGTGGCAGTGCAGTCTAGTGTAGAAGGTAATGTTGTCGGCTCAAGATGGTTTAAGGCGAGCCTGAGTGTTTCTGAAATCAAGGGCGAAGGTTTTGTGTCAGCATCTGGTGGGACACGTATCAAACCAAATCTGAGGGTCAGACAATTAATTTCCTGCATTCTAGTGAATTTTTATGCACCATTTTTGCCTTTTATGGTGAAAATTAATTATCCAGTTGTGCCTAATTCCATCTTCTTTCCATTTTATGGCACATTGCAGCAGTTGCTTTTGAGGTTGCATACGGCCACCACTTACTTTGCCACAGACAGTAGCCCTTTTTACACAAAGTTCACACTTTAGGACTGCTGTTAAGTCCCTCCATTGCACAGCCTTTGTCTTTTTATGCAGAACCAAAAAGGGGAGGCTTCATGCCGCCCCAGTGTTTGATTTTAGAAAGCATGCCAGCATCCTGACGGGCATGACGTGTAACGCAACAATGGCATTACATGGCAATAACAATCATTTACTGTCCCTGTTATATGGCAGCTCATCTTGTCCTCTGCTCAGAGGGTGTGGACCTCCAGGACCTATCTGTCTCACTATTTTTTAGACATTTTCAGCTGCTGTTTTTTTACCCTTGAGATAACTGCTAAGTGCTATTAGCTGCAGACTTGCTGCCTGCTTAGAGACAACTCTGTCCCTCCATTTCACGATTGTACCATTTATACAGAACGACAAGGTGAAAAAACGGTGCTACAATCCCGCCTCAGAAGAGTAAAAGTGTAAAAGAGGCTGATAACAATGGCATAACATGGCAATAACAATCATTTACTGTCTCTGATAAATGATAGCTCCTAGACCTTATCGTCTCCAACATTTTTTGCCGCTGTTTTTCGTCTCTGAGCTAGCTGCTAACTGCTTCTAGCTGCTGGCAGTGGGTTTCTCCACGGCTGTCCCTCATAGACAGATGACAATTAGGTACTGTGACTACCTCTGCTGTTGGCTTAAAGGCAATACAACTCCGTCCCCGCATTCTGTGATTGTACCTTTTATAGGGAGGTGGATAATGGCGTGATATTCCCGCATTCAACAGGCAGTGTAAAAGGGGCTACTGTTGTGTCTATGAGTTGTGTTCTAGCAGTTTCTAGAAATACAAGTCTGCTGCCACAGCCCCCTTCCCCACGAACATCATGGCTTTGACAGACACTAGGATTATATATTTAGCTGTCAATAGAAAAGTTATTTTATAAGAGTTTTAAGGTTTTCATAGTTAGTTGATTAGTGCAGTTGGCAGAAAGACTTTTACACAGTTGTCTTAGTTAACAATTGATTCAGTAGCCTACAAGCTGTAAAATTTGGCACCAGATTTTGTTTCTTCTGTAGAAGACAGATTGCAACGATGGATTTTCATCATCTCTACATGCTTGTCTTATTCATCTCCATTTGCTACCTCCATCATTAACATCAGCGTGTTACTTCAAATAAGTTTTTCTTCTTGTAGTGTCCAACCTGTTCTGCTTGACAAATGTGTAAGAGCTTAAAAAACTAATTGTTTGCAATTGTTGGATACTGTAGCACTGCATCGTGTCACTGAATAACTTAATTGCAACCTTGGCCTCTTTAATGGCATTTGTTACTGTTTCCATAGAAACACACCCGTCACTTTCCAAGCTCTTTCGGAGGGAGACAGGAAGTTGTGGATGGAGGCCATGGATGGAAAAGAGCCTGTGAGTTCATTTCTCATCTCATTTTGGGTCATTCTTCTCTGAGATATAACTTTTGTGAAAGCCGCTTTTCTGCCAAAGATATCTACAATGCAATATGGAGTCTGCTTACTGAGGGGAGACATGGCTACTGGCTATTGTGCTGACGCATAAAACTTTCCATTTCCAATCTGTTTAACAGAGTCTGTCCAACCTTGTTTTAAATCACATCTCCTTCCATGTTGGCAGGTAATTAAATCTGTAAAAACAACTTTGTTTAAGAGGAAGGAAACTACAGTTATCAAGATTAATCTCACTCGCAGCTTCCTAATTGGATTGCACCCAATTACATGTGTTCTATAGTCCCAATATCTGTCTGTTGAAGTGTGGAACAAATGAATGATTAATTAGTTAAGTTGTGTGTTGTTTTAAATGATGATATTTATTGGTTTTAAGGAAACAGTGTCATGTTTCGTTATTAAATCCATCATGTAAGACACATGGAAGCTCACATGTGACAAGTGTTAAGTCCCACAGGACGTAAGCACGGGTGATCTCATTATGGCTTCTCTATTACAGATGTGTTAGATGGTATGAAGCTTGTTAGGCACATCATGCCATCAGTGTAGATCTGAATGATGGCACCGGGTTAGTCTTAATGTCCCCTTACAGCAGGGCTGACTTCACACCATTGTTTTTTTGTTTTTTTTTTACTTGCTTTTCATCCTCAGTTATTTTAAGGTGTTAATGGAAAACTGGACTCTCTGGAAAAAAATGCCAAATGTTTGATCTGGAAAACCTTGCTGCTCCCACAGTCTGTTTCTGTATTCAGCAGTTTTTAAGCCATGAAATACCAATTTTCCTCACTAGCAATTTTCTCAGAGCTCTTTTATATTAAGGTTAAGGGTATAGGTTAAATGGTAGCTGTCGTGTGGACAAAACGAATAGACAGTCGCTGTTAGAGGATGTGAAAATAACACAAGGCACACTTCTCAGTGCCCTCTTCCTGTGCAACTTCCCTAATGACTTCTGTATATCATGAAGATTTCACAAGAGCTTTTCCATCTGCTCTGCCCAAATATTGTCAAGCAAAGATCCACTGCACTGCGCGACTGCCAGGTCTGCAGTCTGAGCTCTCAGTCCGGACAAGGATCAGCTCTATGGTGTTCTGTTAGAGTAATCTCCCCTGCCACACTGGCTCTTCAACTTTATTACAGCCTTTTGAATTGCTGCAATATAAGGTGCAGTCATATGGACACTGTGTTAACTCATCGTGCAGCACGCCGTTGCATACTCGCATGTGTTTCAACCTGTGTCTGTACACACAACTTTTGACACTTCCTCATACTCTGCTGTCTCATTGTTAATCTCTTGAGCCCAGAACTTTGCTCTGAAAGCATGCTGACTTTCTTGCACCTTTAATGTACAGTGTTAATCTGATACACTGGAAAGCAGCAACTATTGTGAAAATAGATAAATTGTAGAGTCACTTTTTAGGCAAAATTTCCAAATACTCACTAGTTCTAGCTCCTCAGTGTGAGGATTTGCTGCAGATTTTTTCACATATTAACTGAATATTTTTGGCTTTTAGACTGCTGGTGGGGAAAAAAAAGTAATTTAGCGGTGTCACCCAGGGTTCTCACTATTTTCTGATATTTTATTGACAGTACTGTTAAGCAATTGATCGAGAATTATCTGCAGAATAAAGCAATAATAAAGTAATCGTTAGTTGGAGGCTAAGTAGACACACATTGGCTATAATTTTAGAGGTTCTGTGCCAATACTAAACATCCCCAGGAGCTCTGGAAGCAAACACAGGCGGACGCCGGTCTCTACAGGCAGCCGTCCATTAGTCCATAAGTGTCTCTTTCGGAAACTTTGTCACATTTCCAAACCAAGAAGCGGTTGACATGCATGAACCTGCGTGCCAATATGACAAATGTAATCCTACACCCACAGATCACTTCAAGACCCCCCTTTGTGCACTTTCCACTGGAACCTCTAATAGGTTGAAAGAATTAAAGTGTGGCATTAAAGTGTTGGACAAAGAGAAAAATGCTCACATGTTCCTCTCCAAACTTGCCTAATATACTCTAGAAAAAGCTCAGTTTACACTGTCAGTAAGTGGTTTCTCTGATGGTAGCTTTATTATCTGTGCAGGAGGCTGTCTTCACAAACATTCTAAGAATACTTTCAGAGTTGCTCCTAGCTTAGCCTAAATAATTCTAGCAAGAAGTCCTAGCTTAAAGGGATAGTGCACCCAAAAATGAAAATTCAGCCATTATCTACTCACCCATATGCCGACAGAGGCCCTGGTGAAGTTTTAGAGTCCTCACATCCCTTGCGGAGATCGGCGGGTGGAGCAGCTAGCACACCTAATGGTAGACAGCGCCGCAGACTGACGTCCAAGAACACAAAATTGAATCCACAAAGTATCTCCATACTGCTCATCTATAGTGATCCAAGTGTGCTGCAGCCTCGACATAAAAAGTTGTTTCGAAAAACATCATATGAACTCTGTTTTTAGCCTCACTGTAGCCTGTAGCTCTGACTGCTTCTCTGTGCTCCGCGCTCATGTGTGCACGCTCAGGGTTATCAGTGATCTCTGAAGAGCAGCAGTCTCATCAGTACTGATGTCCAGATTCTCAAGTGCAGGCATTGCCAATTCCCAGTCTGAGCAGCAAAGACTTTCCTCATCCGTTGGCATTGCTTTGCATTTGAAACAACTACACCACCAGGTTTCCAGTGCTCGACTCCGGTACTCTGCGTCTGGCTGAGGGTTAGGCTCGTGAGCTGTGGTGGCTGCTTCATCCAGGAGCCTGAGTTCCATTCGTATACTCGGGCTCAAACACATACGGCTCAACAAAGAAATGCTGTTCCTCCTCAATTTCAAAGTCTTCAGACATGTTGGGCTGTCCTTTGCTAAAAGACCGTAGTGCAAATTATCTTTTAGCTAATGTGGTTACCGTTGTCTCTCCCTGCAGTGCACGTGTCACGTGATGTAAACAAGGGTGAGCAAAGCTCATGCTTTCGCTGGTCTCGCGCAGGCATGCACACGTGAGCACGGAGCACAGAGAAGCAGTCAGAGCTACAGGCTACAGTGAGGCTAAAAACAGAGTTCATATGATGTTTTTCGAAACAACTTTTTATGTTGCAGCTGCAGCACACTTGGATCACTATGGATGAGCAGTATGGAGATACTTTGTGGATTCAATTTTGTGTTCTTGGACGTTAGTCTGGGGCGCCGTCTGCCATTAGGTATGCTAGCCGCTCTACCCGCCAATCTCCGCAAGGGATGTGAGGACTCACTTCACTTCACCAGAGCCTCCGTCGGCATATGGGTGAGTAGATAATGGCTGAATTTTCATTTTTGGGTGCACTATCCCTTTAAGAGTGATTTAGGAAAATTCTCACAAAATTTTACCTTTGCTGAAGGGGTGTGGTTGACCCTGTTGCTAACATGCTAACTATTATTTCTATGTCACTAGTCACTTGAAACAAATTTAGGACGATAGGAGACGGGTTGAAATAAACCGAAATTTCCCTTTAAATATGTGATCGGTTGTACTATTGTGAGCCTACAAGGTGAAAACATCAAATGAAAATGATGTGATTTGTGTCACAATATGAGACTGTGAAATGTTGTCATTGTTAGTGTGATTACCCTGCTGATGGAAGGTAACTTGACATAGACCCAAGTCATCACTGCTGAACTGTATCTTTTTTCAGTTGCCAAAAGTCTTGTGTTGTGATCACTTTCATTCTGGCTTTATAGTGTTATTACATTGAAGTTGCACTCATTGGGTCCCCTCGGCCATTTCAAAGCACGGTTGCAGGATTTTTGTACGCAGTCATCTATATGCCAATGTCATGGTGTATTTCAGCTGGTCTCTGTAATCATGTGTAGTTGCCCCTGTTATATGTTTCTTACGGTTCATTTGTAGCATATATTGAAATACTTTTTGGCTTTTCTTTGCAGTAATCTCATTAGGTGTTTTATATTGCTTATTTTAGAGCTGTATATTTTTATTTTGTATTTTTGGTCTATGTTGTATGGCTGTAAGTTTATGTTTCCGCCAGTCTCGGCCAGGACACTTTTGAAATGGAGATTTTTAACCTCAAGGTTTTTTTCTTATAAAATAAAGGTTAAATAAAGTTTAAATAAATAAATAAAATATTGTGTTGGGTGGGAGATGTGAGTGCATCTCTAATGAGATCGCTCACAAACATTATCCCTGCACCATGTAATATATGGAGTTTCATTAGCTCACAGTCATTCAGTATTTCTCCAACCTTTTTTTCTTTCCATCATTTTATTCTCTGCTTAAGAGTCCTTAAAAGTCCTCCTGAACTCCGAACACGTTTTTACCTAAGGAACTTATGTTGTCCAGGATCTAATCTTAACTGTAAGGGGGAATTTGTACAAAACGTCATATAAACGTCTATGAGCTATCTCAGAGTTTCGTCACTAGGAGTAACTCTCTATACTAGGAAGCTTTGTGAATTTGGCCCCAGATTTGCTTTTTGAGGAATAGCTTCCATGTGATCTTATTTTTTGAATTAAAGTAACTCAGTGCCATGAAAATACCAAAACAGAACATGTTAGATTTCAGAGATTTTGAGTCATTTCCAAATGGGAGATTAAAGAAGTAGTTATTCTCTTACCAGGTCTAAATCAATATCAGGGCGTGATGGGGATATTTCACACTTAGAGTGCCCTTTGACAACAAGCACTTGTCCCTGCTGAAGAGTCCTTGAACAAGACTCTACTGTCTCCAGCTGCTCTGTTGCTGGCCCTGACCTCTGACAGCCATCAGTGGATCAGTGGGGAGGGCGACACAGTGAAAAAACTGAAAACCAAACCAGCTATTTTTGGGGAAGAAAAGATGTCCTGGCTGAGAGTTACTGGTGACTAAGCCTGTAGTTATGTACTGGTTTTAATTTTACAGCTTTGCAATACTGCTCCCAAGTAAACTGAATTCTTTTCATGTGTTTGGTTGTTTATGATTTGGGAATCTGTCCTGTTTTCCACCAGTTAATACGACACACACTCTGTCCACTCATCCTTTTTTCTCTCTGTTTCATGTCATTTGAATCTACTCATAAGGTGAACTGGAACATTGTGCTAATAGTTTCATAAACTATCTGGGAAGCTATCACTGTATCTGGGATGTTTGGATTCAGCTTTGTGTCCTCCTGCCATCATCAAATGTTTCTCTCGGTTTTAAGTAAGATGTGTTCAGTAATCATGCTGACGGCCAGTTGTAGATTTTTCCATGTTTCATGTTTTTAATTTCCTTTTACATTTTTTTTTTCATTTCAGATCTATCATTCCCCAATTCACAAGCAAGCTGAAAGTAAGTCAGTCATCATAATGCTCAAAGCCTTACATTGTGATGTTATGAGATGTAGACACAGTTGTACTTTACATCTCATCTCACTGAATGCATCAGTATTCCTTTGTCTGAAAATAATTGTTTGCTTTTAAATCTGCCCATTTTTGTCTGTCTTTTACTTCTACAGTGGAGCTGAATGAGTTCGGATTCAAGTTTGTGCGAAAGTGCATCAATTATGTTGAAACAAAAGGTAAAGGGTCCTAATAGAGGTTTATCCCACCTGTGTTTAGTTCTGTTAGTTTGCCTATTTGCCCTGAAGGGGGTGTAGTTGAGTCATAGGTTACATGACAAAGAAAAAACCCCTTTATTATAATACTGTAGTCTGAGATAATAGTCTACTTCAGATTGTACGGAATTTTAATAATCACATTTTATCCTGCATTATGAATGTCTGCCTGTCTAATTTCTTTTAAGAATATTTTTTTCCACAATTATTTCTTTAACAAAAGCCATTCTCTCCATGCACACTTAACCTTGGAAGCCCCAATGACTCAAAACTATCCTGACGGAAAATGTAACCTTATAATTCTACAGTCACAATATGTTTCTCCAGTCGAGTGATTCATCTTGCAGGAACGGAGTGAAGTGCTCCGGCCATTAGCATGTCATTTGACTCATGATACAAGCATGGCACATTATTCACTCTCAAACTAAATGGTTAAATTAAGCGTTCACAATCAGCGAAGAACATCTGCATCTTAATTCAGGCTCCTGCAGCCTCTGAAGAGAAACATGTGGTACATCTCCACTGCTCTGTATTTGTCCAGATTACACTCCTGTTCTCTTTGCCTCCCCCTCTCCTCTTTCCAGGACTCACACAAGAAGGAGTGTACAGAACAGTTGGAAGCAACATCCAAGTGCAGAAGCTTTTAAATGCCTTCTTTGGTAAGGAAATAAGTCTCTGGACGTGTTGTACATCTGTCCATTCACTGTGTTTCTTAAATTGGGCTGATCGTTCTTTTTGAGTAAAACAAAGCAGGTTCTGCCACTTGATGACAAGAATGAATGACAAAGAAATATCAGCAGCCTGCTGACTCTCAGTGCCCCTGAGAGTCCTCCCACCTTAATGTGGCTGTACATTGTATTTTTATACAATGGATCAAATGGCTATGCATTAAAGACGTCGTTTATAGTGGCAAACTGGCAAAGAATTATCAGCAGACTGTGCAGGTCCCTTTAGCTCAACTTAGCTTTAAAGAGTCTTTTAACTCATTGCTTTGATTTTCAGGCTCTCAACTTCAATTTAGTTTCTCACCCTGGCTGCTGTCATAGCATTGTTTTCAGGAGCAACAGGCAGCTGTTTTCAGTAAAAGAGCTCTGAAAAGCCACAGTACACTATCTGCTCAGCTCCAAACAGCAGATGAACAAAATTAGTGATGAGCTAGCAGGTGAACATAATGCAGCAGTTAGCGACTGGAGAGCCAGATTTGTGCCTCAGGAGTATGTAGAGACCAAAAACAGAGCTACAAGAGAGCGAATATTAGACTTACATCCACCAGGTAGACACAAACACAACTCAAAATCAGTGCTAATGTTGCTCTGTATCTGCTGGGTGTATAAATAAGCAATTGTTTGGTAACAAGTTAACCAAATTAGCGTTAAAGGAGATGATATGTCAGTGATTTTATACCCGAGAGGCATCAGTCATTGCAGGCCTGAATTATATTTGTTAAATACTTTTTTTTGCAGCAGATAATTCAACTTCCCAGAGTGGGAAAAGCACATGTATAGTGCTAATGACTGCCCTGTTCTATTTAAGTGTCCCAGTAAGCCTGACTGTGTGGCAGTCATTTCATTTCATTTTATATTTATTTAAAAGGGACAATGTACAGCTCAAACATAAATGTCACCATTTGATGCACACAAACACACACACACACACGCACACGCACCCACACACACACGCACAAAGATTTATCAATACATGCATAATTTCAATACTCATTTTTACAGCATCGATCCACCCGTACTAGCTGCGCTTTCTCACTCTCTGTTATTGTTAACGTTTACTACAGTCATCTCTGCTAGGAACCAGGAATAAAAGTTATTATTGTCATGTTTTAGTCTTCTGTATTTTTTTTTTTAATAAATGTTTTAAATTGTATGCCCTTAATGTCAGTTTTCCCTCATGGTATTGGGGTCATTATTTAATGACAGCTAGCACATGTCACAACTTTATGGTAACTTTAACTAAGGTGTTAATCACAAGTGGTTACCAGTGCCGTTTACATGGGATTTAACATGATGACATTAAGTATTTTCTGCTTGTTTGTCCCGATTTGCTCCTTCATAGACCCCACAAACCCAGGAGATGTGGATCTTTACAGCAGTGACTGGGACGTTAAAACCATCACAAGTGCACTGAAGTTTTATCTGAGGTATGTTTGTGTGGGAGCGGGAGACACAAAGTTCATGTGAGGAAAATACTTTAGAACACTCTGTAGTTTCAGATCTGTGGCTGATTCTTTTACTGGTGTTTTATCTGCAAGACACATTAAATATTATGTCACATTATTATGTAGCAGTAATTATCGTATTGTTCAGTACATCTTAATGGGTCAAAAGTCTCCGTTGATATTTTGCATACTTGCTCTTTTTATAAATCCTTGATATGCAAGGATTGAGGTATTTTCCAAGAATCTATTTAGTTGTCTGTTGTGTGTATGTGCAGATCGAGACCCAGATGCACATTAAAGCAATTGGCTGTTATTAAAATAACAAATGCAGCCTTGACAGAGGTCGCGCTCTCTGAGTGCTTTCCTGTGTAATTGTGTAACAAATGAATGCTGCTTTTTGTTTTTTTTCTCGTGTTTGATGTGGTGAGTTATATTGCAGTGCAGTCTTGTTTACAAGTGTGTGTATTCATCAACAGGAGCTTGTCTGAACCTCTGATGACCTACAGTCTACACAGAGACCTCATGTGTGCTGCAAGTAAGGAAATTATCCAGCACTAAGATTAAGGAGTTTTGTATGCGTGATCACATCTCTTTGGTCTCCTTTTTACACTCTGTTCTTGGATCTCGACATACCACTAAAATGTATCCCAGACTCACTCAAAATCTAAAGGTGTGCCACAACATCCCCTTAAAAAAATGTACCTAAAGTCTTAATACTTTGATTTTGCAAAGATGATAAGAAATATTAAATTATGTATGCGTGGAACAAATTGTCTGTGTATATTTGTACACTTGTACAAGCCCTGAAGGGCCATACACATGCCACGTCTTTAATCGCCTGGAAAACACAAGGTCAGGCGCTCTATGCAACTCTTGTGCCTACTCTATGCCTGCTTTCAAGGGCTGGAATTGCTTAACAACCATAACAAGTGCCGTATCATATTCTACTTGTAGGAAATCCTGATTGCAGAGCTGCTCTTCTTCCAGACAGTTTTTCAAATGTGTATTGGGCCTAAAATATTAGACGTGAGACAAATGTAAAGCTCTGGCTCGCCCTGCACCAAACTGACCAACTTCTTCTTCGTATTTAGCACAGACTGATTTTTACAGAAGAAGGAAAAGATATCTGTCAGCTGTGACTGGTTATTCCTTGTCACATGACATGCAGTGCATGCTGCTGCGTTCCAACAGTTGAACTCTGTTTATCTCAGGGCGTAGCCGTCACACCGTGAAAAATAGGACTGATGCTTGGGTTACTGTTGTGTTTTGATTTCAGATACTGTATTGTAATCATAAATTTTCCATGTATCTTATGCACCTGTCCACCTATTTTAAGGTGGATAAGTGCTGCCTGGATAAAAACCTAGATGACTGGTACAAAAACAGCATTTGTACATTAATACTGTGCAGGCGGCAGGTTCAGCAGTTTAACAGGCATCACGAGGTCACTCTGAAAGACACTAAGAAAAACCTGAGTCCTCTTTTATTTATCTGTCCCACAATGTCATTGTAAAACTGAGAAGACAATGAGTTTAATAGCACCAGCCTCATTCTGTCAGTGTGTTACAGTAAGACAACTGGAGGCTTCAGTTTCCCTGGAATGTCTTTCGGTGGTTAAATGGGTGCTCCTTGTTATACGGCCTGAGTTTGTTTTGGAAACTTTCTTTTATTAGTGTCATGCCATTGCAGTGTATGACTGTAGCCTGTTCCATATTGTGTTTGAACATGTCATGTTAATATATAACTGAAGCATTTCTGTTATCATCACAGATATTTTCACTGCACCTGAATTTTAAGACATACCAACATTTCAGTGAAAACATTTGAAAAGCAGGGATTTCCATACCCACATACAGGGGCAGAATTTTGAATACAAATACAACACAACCATATTTTTAATTATTGTGATATTTCTTCTTCATGAAATGGATGGTTGTAACAAAAATATTTCATACAGCAAAATACAGCAAAAAGTGATGAAACTGATCAGTATATCGACTCACCCCAGAAGCAAAGAAGTGCATAGTAAAACCACCCTGGAGATAGTGGAGGGTATCTACTTAAACTCATTTAATCTTCCACCTATTGCTTGGATTTTGTTTAAAATTGCACTGATAGTGCCCCTATGTCTGCTCTACACCTCATAACAGTGTGAAAATCAAAATGTGTATTTATAATAGAACTAGACCAGGGGTAGGCAAGCTGCGGCTCCAGAGCCATGTGCAGCTCTTTAGCCCCTCTCCAGTGGCTTCCTGTGGCTTTGACAAAAAAAACAAACCCAAAATGGTTATTTTGTATTATTATTTTAACATTCTCATTTTTATTTATCATTGTTGTAGGCCTAAAGAAATTCTTACATCCTCCAACTGTAAAAATGTGTAGCTGATGCACTGTTTTAAAATTTCATTAATTTAAATGTGTGTCATACGTTGATGGCCTGGCACCTTTACGTCTAAATCTTGCAAAACCTCAACAGTGGTGGCTAGTCTTGAGTGTCCCTAGCAAGGCAAGCAGTAGATTCCAAATCCAGAAAAGTTAAGTACAGAAATTAATAGCGGGTCGACAGATGTGTTTGCTTTCACCGCCAATGCTGCAAAGTTTAAGTAACAAATAATCATAAACAGCCGATTGCAGAGGAGCAATCTTGTCTCATTTACACCTATTTTTAATGTAAATAGGGTAATTTAGACTTAAAATGCAGTGTTAGCATAGGGCTCAAATGTGTTTTGCGGTTCCAGGCAGATTTTTTTTAAATTATTTTTGGTCAAAAATGGCTCTTCTGATAGTTATGGTTGCTGACCCCTGAACTAGACCCTAGTGGATTTGAAATATAAAGTTCTAATAGTCAGAAATTTCACACAGACACTTTTTTTGAACCTTCACTTGTGGTAATATATGACGATATGTTCAGGCTGTCACACTGAATAAGAAATCTGACACAAAAACAGAAAAGGTGGTGCAAAATGACTAAACAGCATTTGATATTAATCTTGATATGTAGTAAAGGATGCAGAACCTTATGGACCTCCTTCAGACCTTATGGAGCTCAGAAATGTCACAATGTTTCAATGAGACTCTTTAAGATCCAATATAATAGATACTGTTAACATTTTTACAGATTGATGCAGATTATTATTATTTTTTTCTCAGTTATTCTCATTTTCATTCTATAAAATCTCTATGTAAACTTGTTGTATAATTTAAAGCTGTTACCTTTTTACAACATGTTCATGACGTAGGTCTACAGATACTGCAGATAAACTCTATATTTTTCATAAACTCTTTGTATCACAGAGTCTGATAACCTGGACTTCCGACTGAGTGAGATTCATTCTCTTTCCTACAAACTACCAGAGAAGAATCGGGAGATGCTGGAGATGCTTATCAAGCACTTGGTGAAGTAAGTGGCAGCAAATATCCCTGTGATTTACTGTTTTTACTGCTCCCACGGGACCTTTTGCTCTCTTTCCAAAATGATCTGAGATAATGTGTCACTTATTCAACCCATCGTGATGTTTGGTGACAGTGTGTGCAGCCACAGTGAAGAAAACCGGATGACCCCTTCAAACATGGCTGTTATCTTTGGACCCACGCTAATGAGAGCGAAGGAGGAGACAGTGGCGGCCATGTTGGACATCAAGTTCCAAAATATTGTTGTTGAGATTCTGATTGAGGACTCCAAAAAGGTTAGTTTTCAGACAATGCAGCCTTTGTCCGGTCTGAGATAAAAAAAAAAGGTAAAAGACCATCAAAGTGAGTATTTTGTAACACTTAAAGGAATAGCTTACCATTTTGGGAAATGTGCTTATTCCTTTCTTTGCCGAGAGTTTAATGATCAGGTCTTACTAAGAAAGAGAATAAGTGTATTACCCCAAATGGCAAAAATGTAATGCTTCTAATTTGATTTTGTGCAGCAGAAGCGTTTGTTTACTTTAGTCATCACCAAGTCACTAATGTTGATGAATGATTGTTCTGTGAAAAATAGCAGTCATTTGTTTTCTAGATTTTATTGTCATTTATCTCCTGCTTCCTCTCATGTATATAATTGCATTCATTCAGTTACAGGCTGTAGTAACCACTAAACCAAAGTGTTACTGTAACATTTTTTTGTGATTACAGATCTTCAGTTATATGCCAGAGGACAGCACTGCCCCACCTGTCCCTCCTCCGCGGATCACCCCGAGAAAGCGGCAACCCATCACAATCTCCAAGCGGCCACCTCGTGTTTATCCAGCTCTTAGTCACGACCACTTGCAGCACACAGAGAGTAATTATCAGCCTCTCTTGGCTTGATTGCCATCATCATCCTCAGCATTATTCCACCCTATCTGTGCTGGATGTACAGTAGATTATTTTCAGAAAGATCTGAGCCACAGCACCCCTGCAGGGTCCTTTCTTAACATTTTCTCAAGTACAGAAAAATGTGATTTACTCTAGTGTGTGTGTGTGTCCATCAAATACAATTCCAACAAATGATTACATAATCCTAAACATGGAATTTGTCAAAGAATTCTTTATTGTCTTATCCTCAAGTGTTGACAGTAAATTCCTCTGATGCTTTTTTTTAAATTTTGAGAACAAATAAACTTACGGATTCTACATTTTTTATTTCACATTAGTGTTTTTTTCCAAGGCCTGGGGCTAAATGGTGTACTTTTCTATCTGTTTAAACCCCTTATTAAATGGGTGTGTCTCCATCTTCTCATACACTGTGACGGAGAGATTTGTTGCACCAGCAGCTTTCCCTCTCTGCCTTGGTTAAATAGTGATTTACTCTTAACTTACTGCTTGGTGTAGCCAAATAACCAGCTCTTTATGGCTAGTCCAAACATTGTGTTGTGGAAACTGTGGTTGTGTCACCAATTTAATATTTAATCATTTATATTCTGTAACATTCAGTACATGTTTCTCTGTGCTTTGCATGTTTTGCACACTAAAGTGTATTTGAACTATTTCACACACAGAGGAAAACATTTACATTTGACTGATGCCAGAATTTACTGTACCAAGATAGGAAGAGCAGCAGCCCATTCTCGTTCTCAAGGTTTAGTGGTTGAGTTTACTCCAAGTACCACAACTTTGCATTAATGGTTATATTGCTTCTTTACAACAGATGGCCAGAACGACTACTCTGCCGTGGACGGGGAAGTCTCAACCAACCCTGTTCCCCTTCAGCGGACAAAACCTGTAAACTGTCCTCCACTCGTTCCAAGAGAACCTCCTCCAAGACAAGCGCTGATGCCCAGACCATCTATCCGTCAGGACAGACACTCAGACTCTGACGCTGGCAAGATAGACGATACAAGGCAAAGGCCAGATTCTTCTTCAGCAGCAAATGGGGAGTCTGGAGTCTACGTGAGCAGAGTGCCATCCTTCCAGAGCAGAAGACCACCTCCTAAAGGCACACCAGCCAACCGAGAAGGTATGATGAACTTTCTGTGTTTATATGGCTGTAACTTTTTAAATCATGCTTGTTTATCTCCAACTAAACAAAAAAAAAAATTAACAGTATTGGCCAGCTTTTGAGAAGTTCATCTGCTCATTTTCCCTCCGTCATGTGGCTCTGTTCAGTCCCTCAGAATTATTTTTCTGTCTTGTTGATTAGTTTTTTATTGACTCTTGTTGCGGTAGAATTAACTGTGGTGCCAGTTGTGTAGCTCTTGATGACATGGCCTGTGACGTGTTTAGGCACAGTATCCTCGCTTTACAAATTAGTCTTGGAAGCTGTTAGTCATCTGTAATTGGTTTTCCTCTGTTTTATTTATTTTTAAACAAATAAAGCCTTCTTTTTTCGCTTGTTTGTTTCAAGTTGTTACTAAGTTTGATCGCAGACATAAAGTATTTGCCAAGTTTGTTGGTTTTCTATTAAGTTATTTGCCTAAGAAAGTATGGATCTAAGCAAGCTCCAGTTCTCAGCATGTAATTGTATGGATTTTTTGTTGTTATGACAGAACATCCATATTATAGTTAATATGGATGTTATTCCTAAACTGTTAATCCATCACAGCCTCTAGTGTTTCATTTTGCTTTTTACTGTTTTATTGCAAAAACCTTTCATTCCTGTTTGTCCTCATACATTATTACATTACTTTTTTTTGTAGGAGATTCTGAAGGTCTAACCAGAACGAGGTCCACAGAGAAACATGCCATTTGCAGACCCCCTGTCAGGCCTCCCGAGCCCCCCTCCAGATTCCCTACTCCACAAAAGACCCCGAGTGCAGCCAGCAGCGAGGGCACGGCCTCATCCTAGTAAGTGCTCTTCAGATATCAAAGAGTCTGTCTATGCCTTTACGATACTGGTCAAGAGGTCCAGTAAATATTCAATAATGGATCTGCTGTTTTAATTAAAAACAGTAAGGCTCACAATTTAAACAATCTTGAAGTGGAGCCAGACATTCAAAGTAACAGAGTGTCAGAATCAGCAGCCCACAAGGCATTAGTCGCTTTGATGATCAAAACTGTCCAATCAAAGAATGGACATGTCGCCAAGAGCAGCCAAGGGGCGATTATTTTTCAGATTCTTTATTCCCAGGATTAGTAAAAATGCTACAATCAATATTATTATATTAACAATGGATTACTCGTACTGTACGTGAAAAAAGTAGCTTGAAACAGAGGTGTGGGCTCAAGTCACATGTCTTGGGCTCAAATTTGGTGACTTAGGGCTTGACTTCACAACATCAAAAAAGACTTAACTTAGACTTCAGCCTCAATGACTCATGACCTAATACCTCCCCCCAAGCTCAAAGATTAAAAATATGTTATTTAAAAGGTGTACCACAAATCAATTGATTTGCCTTTATTCCCTGAATGATCTAATAGAAACGCTGTTCCCAGCAAGTCAACACAAAATTCCTCAGATCCATTTAGTTTGAACAAATCCGACAGCGTCCGGTGAAGTTGCAGGAGAGAACCATGAAGAACTAATGTTACTTTACTGAGTGCAGGTTGGAAAAACTGATACTGAAGATAATTTTGTTTGTGTACAAAAACTACACAGTAGTCAACAAAAAATGAATTGCAGTATGCAACACATGCGAGTCAAAAACTACAGATGCAGACACAAAAACTTCCAACTTCATTCGACATTTGAAGTTGCTAAAATAGCAGTAAACTGAGGCTACTATTAATATAGTAAGCAAACTAATCTTTAGCTAACATTAGCTTAACAGCTAAGTAACTTTTTGACAAACTTGTTTCAATAAGCAAATACAGATTTTCAAAAGCATTTTTGTAAATTTTATGTATTATAAGTCTATTGTTAAAATGACATTACATTTGGTGAAGAGCACATTATGAGTAGTTTAGGACTCAAAACTAAACGTTTAGGACTTGGGACTTAACTTGGGACTCGTCAGTTTTGATTTAGGAATTGAGTGCAAAGACTCTGGCTTGTAGTGAAGAACCCACAGGGAATTGTCACTGGGTTCTGCAGTTCTTCTCAGCATTACGGAGCATTTTAGTATCTTTGAGCTCATTGTTTTGGTTTTACAGACCACAACTGTACTGTTTTGGTTTACTCTGTCACTCTCTAGTTTTTAGATGTAGCACGCAGCTGTTTTCATTGGTTAAAAATCTCCAAAAACCCACAGGACACACTACCTGACAAAAATAACATCTAGCTGGTGAGCATAGTTTAGCATTTAATAACTAAAGATTATATATTTCCCTCAGGAGGTGGTGGAGACCAAAAACAGAGCTACAAGAGAGTGAATATTGGACTTAAATAGACCAGGTGCCCATAAAATGACTCGTACTAATGTGCGAGTACTAATGTTGCTCTGTAATTGCTGCATTTGTGAATAAGCAGCTGTTCGCTAACAAGTTCAACATATCAACTTAAAGGGTGATGATATGTTGACAAAAATATTAGGGTTAAAGTTTAAGTCATTTATTTCATTCTTGGAATAACAAAGTTGTTGTCGCATGGTACTGATTTTATTGGCTTGTTATCTTGTCTCAGACAGGCAGTTATCACAAGAAAATTTGTTTGTTATCTGGAGATAACTAGCTAATTTACCTAATCTTGGGACATTTTGACTTGTCCTAACAGGAGAAGCAGAGGTGTAACTGATGACATTAACAATGGCTCTGTTCCATTAAGTGTCTCAATAAGCTGTTCCAGTGAGCCTGCACGAACAATATCAGAGAACTGGAACACTTAAATGGATTACAGTCATTACTAATGTTTTATCTTACAACTGTGCTTTTTCTGCTATAACATGCCCATAAATCTGCCTTGATAAAGGCTTACAAAAAAAACATGGTTGCTTTTGGCTTTCATAGATAAGTACCATGCAAATTTTCTACCCAAAAATCGAGTGCAGTCTACCAAATAATATGTGCTGACTGTTGGATCACAAAGGATTTACTGAAGTGGTTCACATGTAAGATGAATCCAGTATTTCCCTACAATACCAACATGTTGCTTTTCTTCTTTTTCTGCAGTGTCGCCTCAAAAACAAAGTTTTTTGAGAATGCCTCCAAGCACATTGGCAGGTACGTCTGTTTTTTGTCTGTGCCCCATTTTGTCTTTTTCTTTAGACTCTAATCAGACATGCGTGTTTTTACAGTACAATAGGTGAAAGTTAATAAAAACACAACAGAAGATTAAAGTTAAGATCTTCCTCCTGATGACGTAACTATGGAGATGGAAAGACACATGTCGTCTTTTATGATTTGCTTGGACGGTCCAAGTTAAGGTCCTTTCTACCCTCCCTGCGCTTGCAGTGATAAAGGCTGTAAAAGAAGAATGTCTGAGTGGGAAGAGTTTGTGGGAGTTTTATCAAAGAGTTAATATTTTTTTATTGTAATCGCCTCTATTTGTGTTCAGTTTACATTAACTTGTGGCCTCTTCTGACGGATGAATTTGTCATTTGACCTTTGGACAGAAGAAGCACAGATTGTGACTTTAGCAATCATTATCCCACAGCTGTAATATGAATACGGTGTGATGGAAGGACTCAGATCTCTTACTGAAGTATTACTAGGAATACCATATTGTGAAAATACTCTGTTACTTAATTGGACTCATCTCACAGTGTGATTCGTAATGAATCTGCAAGATCGCTACTATCACACAGTGTTTATGGGCCTTAAGGCAGATCATGGGTGGTCTTGTGGTTGAGCTGAAGCAATAAATGGATTTGTTTAATTACCTTTTTTTCTCTTCTCATTTAGTCCACCACCCTCTCCGTCATCAACAGTGACAAATGTGAAGAAAGAGGTGAGATTTACTGTGATTGCGACAGAGCTAACATCATAAAAATACATGATAGATTGTTAAGAGTGTACCTATGTTATAAACTGAAACACGTTTTTCAGTGTCTTTTTATAAAATTAAGACAAACTGTGTTTTGTCCTCAGAATTAAAGTTACGGGGATTCACACCACATCAGATGATCTCTGCATGTGCTGTTTGTTGGGTGCTGATCAAGCTGGAGGGAGTCACCATCAATGAACTCAGTGATCTTATCGCATAGATTGAACAAGTGGTTCTTTGTAGACCTGAATGGATGTATTTGATTCCATTTGATTTTTAATAGCATGAACGATGTTTTGAGGCAGCGCAGTAGCAAATGGACTTTTGAATGAGCTCGCAAAGTAATTGTCTCGGAGTTTGATGATTATTCCAAAGTTAGGATGGAGTGACTGTTTTCCCCTTGTTTCAGGCCAATTGACAATAATGTCAAATAATATTACAATGTTTTGTCATTTTACAGTGTTAAAAAGTTTGAATGGCAAATTTCTTTGGAGGGAACTAACTGCCATAACTGGTTATAACTGCTTACTTAGACGTCTTCTTGTCCAAATGCTTACACTTGTTTTTAGCATTGTAAAATAGATCTCCCAAAGAAGACTAATTGATTAAATAGGTTTAATCATTATTAATCTGAAGAAGTAGATTTTTAGTTAAATATTAACTTCTTTATAAAATGGACCATTTAATGGTCTGTCAAGGAGCCTAATGAAGAAATTTCATTTTAAGATAAATTATTTCCATGGAAGGTATTTTAGTTTAGGTTCATTCAAAGAAAAATATTTAGATCTAAATTTAAATCATGTATGTCAGGTCAGACATAATGAGTCATGTGGCCATAAGTCACTTTTTAAGAGGCATTACAAAGAAGTATTGCTATAAAATGTCAGCCTGTATTCCACTCAGTGTTGTTTGAGTTTAGATAATGAATGTAATGCTAGTGTTAGTTTAATTGGGAAAAATTAAAACAGTCACTAGTGACCATTCCTTTCATTCCGCTTCTGACTTTGGTGTCACCCACTTCTTACCTAATGAAGGTAGATCAGGTTGCACAGGAGAGACCTTGAAGTTTACCTGAATTTGTTGCACCTCAAAATAATAGGGATCAAAATGCAGGTCACATAAGAATCAAAAGTGATTGTTTCAATATGTGAATATAACACTCCAGTGTTTTGTTTTATTTCGTTGTTCTTAATATGGTTATGTTAATTTTACACTTGTTTTATTTTGATAACCCGACTTGAAAATTCTGGTTGTTTTCTGGTTGGATTTGTTTTCATAAAGTTAAATAAAAATGAAAAAGTTCTCAACTGCACTCAAAGCTTGAAACAGAGCTGTGTGTTGACATTGATATCTGTGTTATTGCATAATGTTGTAATTCTATTTTGCTTAGTCAGAGAGCTAATGTTTGAAATCAATCATATTACATCTATTTCACATGCATTTCATGTTGTTGTTTTTTTTTGTTGTTTTTTTTTTAAATTGTGACATATACTTTGACTAATTAATTTAGATGTGTATTATAATGTGGTGCCAAACCTCTTCATGCCATCAAAGTGAGACAAACAACTCATGTAAAAATGAGCTTATCTTTGTGTTCAGTTAGAACACTGAACTTAAGTTAACTGAAAGTAGAAGAGGGGTTTGTAGGGTGTATTGTGTCAGTACAACGACTTTAAGATCTGTTCGGCCACATTAGAGAAAACAAAATGTTTCACTCATGTTTCTGGTGACTGGCTGTCCATTCACAAGGACATTAATGATGAAGATTGGTACATCTAAAAAACAAACCTCTCATTTGGTATCAGTCTCCGTGACAGCTGGCACTTCTTATGACAAACAAATAGCCTGATGTCTTGAACTGTGAGAAAGATATGTTGTGTGGGGAAAGTTTTAACTTCTCTAACATATTTGTTGTGCTTTTAAAACATCCAATCAGAAGCATGCAGGGGAATATGATGGGGCCTGACAATGAACCCTGTGGGATCCCAAACAAAAAGAAGTAACTGTTGCTGTCATCTTTAGCTAAAAATGTTGGATTGGAAAGATGTTTATCTTTCATCTCTGCTATGACAATGTATAACAAACAAGCAGCAACCTCCAAGGCTAAAAATAAAGCCAATGCGTAAGTGCCAAAAACTGCAGTTAATCGAACGGCCACTCGAGTCTGGCATCTGGAAGTCGCAAACCAGTGGGTGATGTCACAGTGACTATGTCCATTATTATAAACAGTCTATGGTAACAAAGTGTAAGGGCTAGGCTATCAGCTCTGTAAAGCTGTAAATAGACACAATAGTGCTTTGAGCAAAATGCATGCTAACATTGATGATGATGTTGCTGGTTTTAAGCAGGTATAATGTTTACTGTATTGGATATCTTAGTTTAGCTTGCAAGCATTCTAATTTAGTCAAATGTGAAGTATTGGGCACAGTGTCATTTTGACACGATGATAAAAAGTCGCAGGATCACTAAAGTGATTACAGTTCATCCTGAGAGGAATATGACAGTGTGTACTGAATTTTTCATGGCAACCCAGCCCAAAGCTGTTGCCACTAATGTCAACCTGCTATTGGTGCTAGAAGAAAAGTCGGAGCATCAGGCAGCAAAGGGCTATTGAGTCGAACCCGGGCCGCGGCGGCAACAGCCTTGTACATGGGGCGCCTGCTCTACCACTAAGCCACCGACGCCCCGAGCATGTCTAACTATAACAAATAATCATGATAGTGTGGTTTTGAAATTTTGAGCAGACATAAGAGAGCCATCTGACTGTGACCACAATCTTTTCTGAAACTCAATCATACTGCCTTTAATAACAATATTCATGCATCATGTTTGCATGAGGTTTGACCATTATTTACTTTGATTCCTTTGAATATCCTGCCTCTACAGGAAATACATACAATTCAAGGAGCAAGATATTGTCATAATGCAAGTTAAGTTTAACAGTTAATACAACAACCTTTTCCACCTGAAACATACCAAATGAAAAAGAGGAACAGTTCCTACCATTATGCGCTCAGTGGTTCAGTAAATAACCTCCATTTTTTTTATAAACCTGTTTGCAGTCAGACATTGTATTTATTTTGCCATCTGCTCCTCCCGCCACATTCCAACCTTCACCACCAGTCAGAGCCTCGCCTCCTCACCTCGGCCCTCTCCCTGTACCTTGATTTCTACCACAACTACAACTACAACTACAGCCTCAGCACTGGACTTGGTGGTGAGCTGGCTCACATCAGCGACCGGTGGAAATTCCCTTGTCGATTCCGTGCCAATTCATATGACCTTGAGCTTCAGTAAATTAATATGCAGCCAAGTGCTAGACTCTCAAATAAGAGAGCGTGTACAGAAGAACAAAAGAATGTGTGTTCTCACTAAAGCGAGCGCACTGTTTACTGAACGTCCAAGCTAAATTAAACATGTATTTAGTGCTAATGTATTTCCACTACTACTTTACTTTAGGAATTTACCATCTGATATTCGTTAAACATTTTTTCTACTATTTAGTCAGAAGCACCATGCTTACCAGCTATTGAGATTTGAGCGTTGTCTTTTCCATGTTTAATTTCCCCACTTGCCCAGCTTTCATGCAGTGTACACATATTGGAATCCAAATTATTAAAATGAAGTAAGCCTCTTTATGACTCAAATCTGAGTTATTCCCAGCATTTTCATTCAAAGACGACATAACCTGCATTGGAGTTAAAATGATGACATGCCATTTGTACTACTTTGTGCCCCGTGTCTTGTATGATTGCTTGAACTTTCAAACAAACTCTTATCCCATCCAGAGTCAAAATTATTTTAATTCCCTTCAAAAGATGATTAAGCTTTACACCTTGGAAAAACACACACACATATTGAAAAACACACATCACAAAAGGTATAAATCACACAAGAGATGACTTTAAAAGTGTTGGGACACCAAAACAGACATTGAACTAATCAATATATACAGTTACTGTAGCATGTACAAAGAATCAGGTTAATATGCAGTACATTGGACACATACCAGCTATTGTCCATTGACATAATACAAACACTGTAGCCGACTGTGATTAAATTATATAAGTATTAAAAATGTACAGGGCAATTAGGTGGCTCATTGAGGTGCATGACCCACTGACACTGGTAGTGCCTTCAAATTCCCCATGTGTAATGCATAATAAAGCTAAAACAGCATAAAAAAATCACAACAGTAATTAGAACCAGCATTAATTTCAAGGATAAAGAGTAACAAAATGTTTACTACAACAAGTCTTACAATGTAGTGCATTCAGGAAATATAAGAAGGCTTGATAGATCCCTTTCAGAATTTTTGAATGTGATTAAAACTTAAGCATTTTATGCTTACTTAAAACACTGATACTCCGAATCACTGGACTGTTTTTGTTCATGCGAATACATATAATCTGGGATCTGATCACGTTTTAATTCCGTGTGGTTTCAACTTCACACTGAAGCGTTGCTTTCTCAAATGACAGCAGACACATTCATTCAAGTGTTGGCACTATAATAATTAGCTCTTTGGTGGGTTCGAGTCTCATGGATCACCTGAACTTGTCCGTAGCTACTGATTCCATTTCTCTCCCATTCCTTTTTACAGAGCAAATATTGTATAAAGATGAGATAGAGACATGAAAACAATTACCCCTGCAGATGAAGTAAACGACTAAAAATGCTCCACTGAAGTTTTTGCATGAATCAGTTACAAAAAACTGTAAAAGGGACTGATATCACTGTACACTGTACAACAAAATGGTGTCATATCTTCTGACAGATGTCCCATGCTTTGAACAGTGATGGAACTGACTACGTTTACATGCACAAAATATTCTGATTTTTGCCTTGATTTCAAAAAAGGCAATATTTCTACAAAGCTGTTTACATCGCTTATGAAAATGAATATTCTGCTAATATTCCTGTTTACATGCAGCCGTGGACACTCTGATTAACGTGTCCTAACACGTCGTTTATCATGTCAAAATATAGAAAAGTGGAACGGCTGGAGCCACTTGTCATTCTGGTTCTTTGCATCAAAATAGGACTTTTTTGAAGTCCTCTTGAAAAGGTTGGTGATGCGATATTTGTGCATATCCAAAAAACAGTTGATATCCACCTCTTTCATAATTAAAAGTAGGTGTGTTTCTTCTTCTGACCAGAAATGTGGGCTTTTTTTTGGGGGGGGGGGGGGGGGGGGGGTATGCATTTCTACACCAGCCTTGCAAACAGTTGAAGAGTTGGTTTTAGTACAAGGTCTACATGACAATGCGCAAAGCTGACCGAAAACCCCGGCTGAGATGCATTTTCCGAATGAGCTGCATACACGTCTGAAGAATGCTATTAAACCCTGAATAATATCTGCATATCCTGCATGTCTTAATTTGAAAATGTTAAATTTGTATAAAGGCCTAATTCAGAGTATCCAAAAAGAATACGCTGTTTACATGACCTGCATCAGATTCAGAATATTGTCATATTCATGCAAACGTAGCCACTGTCAGTCAGGATACAATAAACAGGAGAGATACATGGATGTCCGTGCATTGCTTTGTGCAAAGCTAAAAATGATGCATACAGTTATACAAACACATGATGCATGCATATAAGCTCGAGAAAGGAATATGGAATTGTTAGAAAGTGTTGAATTTACAGAGTAATAAAACACTGTTGCAGAATGTACCACAGAAGTAAAGTTGAAGTTTGTGTCTGATTGTTATAAACACGTGGACCTGCTACACCTCTGGTTTATTCACTGAAAGACACTATTTCGGTGTGATTTACACTCTGCAGGAAGTAGACCACCAAGCTGTATGTACAAAGTGCCTTATGTTTCACCGCCTTGCTTTATGTTTTATAAACAAAATACAAAAACGATAATTGTATTCAGCTCCACGAATGAATACTTCTCAACAGTTTTGCTCATGTGTCTTTGATCAGTTATCTTCAAGGCATTCCATAGATTCTTCTCTTGGTTTTTATCTCTGAGGTTTAGCAGGGCCAGTCAAGGACTTCCACATTCTACATCTGAAGCCTTTCCAGTTGCAAGGATGGCTGTAAGTTTCTATTTGCTGCCCTGCTGGAACATTAACTCCCTAATCTCAGATCACTGGAACTTTAAATCAAGTTCTCATTAAGCGTTTGACTGTATTTGGTGCCATACTCTTCTCCTTGTGTCCCTACAATCTCCCAGTCCCTGCTGCTGTGACACAGCATGATGCTGCTAACACCATGTTGTCTATCATGGATGGTGTACTCCCAATATAATGCACAGCACTAACTGCGGGCAACTTATCTTCCTCTGCTTCAAGCTTGTAATTTATCACATGCCTTTGCTTTGCTTTTCGATGCTTTATCATAAATGCAAAAATAATCTGAAGGGGAGTTTGATACTTTTTATATCTAACCAGACACAGTTTGGCATGCAGAAGAGGGCATGATATCTCTGTGGCAACTTCTTCAAAGTTGCATTATTAATATTCAGTTATCATTAACTCTATAGCTGTGCAGTGGAGAAATAAAGTATCAAGACTTTTTAACAAACTGACAGTCTGATCTTTTCCAATTTCCCTCATGCCCAGTACCTGCGTTAACAAGTTCATCCTCTACACAAAGTTATGCAGGATTTTTCTGAAAAACAATGTATAGACTCATACAGAAATAAACCCTCTAAATTATCACTTATGACCCACTAGCAGCGTGAGACTGCCCTCTGCATGTGTTTACTCATTTTCTTCTATTTTCTGTGCTCAGGACATTTATAGGCGTGTACCCCCACAGCGCTCAGGTGAGGTCGAGGCTTTATGAAAAAGAGCAGCAGGAATCCAAGAGTCACACCTATATTTAGGGGCAAAACCCCAAATGAGAGTGAATCTGGGGTTGGCTTTCACTTTCACTATCACTGGCGAGTTACTTTTTACAAACAATAACTAACAATCCTGCATAGTATACCTTCGATGCTTTACAATTAGTGACATCAAGAAAATGGCTTTACACCTTTGCTGCCAATGTGATGAGAAAAGTTTCTAGGTGCAGAGTGACGATAAACATGCAGTGTGTTTTAGAGACGTCTGTATTGTGCTGCATTGGCTCAGTCAACAAGGGAAATGTGCTGTTTACAGTTTAACAGTACATAACGCAGGTTTTTTCTTTCATGACCGTCACGTAGCTGAATGTAACACTATGGTGTATTTTGTAAGAACTGTATTACTATGATTTTAAATGATAACTGGATGGACATAGTCTTGCATTCATATTTTCACTGTGAGATAAAAACAAATATATTGTTGACTTCAATTGCATTCAGAACCACTTCAGTTAAATGATAAATACAACTGAGAGGGAATTTTCTGCGATCATAGTAGTTGAGAGGGATGTGAGCCCACACCATAAAACTTCAATTAAACGCCCAGTCCCTTTTACTAGCCTGGTGTGGATACACCTATTGACAAATAAATGCCTGTCTCAGTTAGACGCCTGGTCTGGTTGCCAAGCAGTTCATTTTTTTTCATAGAAGTTCTATGAAAACCAGGTTGTTGGTTACCTCAAAGGATGTGTCCAATCCTTGATTACCTTGTACGTTATTCATACTCTTTTAATCATTAAAGGTTCTCAGATCAAAAGAATCAAAAGGGTTTTTCATAAAAATTAATCCAAGCTGTGAGTATTGTTTTAACAGGATAAAGTGGTGTTGTGTTGGTACGCCAGGTGCCGTAATCCTCGAGTGCTGTAACTCACTCTCTCTCTGATGCACTGTCTGTCAAAGCGAGATCAAATTAGTCACAGTTGATATATAATCTGAAGCCTAGTTTTTACACAAGTAATATTCATACTGATTCAAAAATCATTTTGATTGTATTTCCTGATTTTTGCTGAGCAACACTTTTGTGTGAAAGGAATTAAAGGCCTGTCCCAAATATAGGCCCGTTGATTTCAGTGATTTAAGCAAATAATAGCATGGGCTATTAATTGAAGTTTTACGGTAGTTGGCTTTCCATATCAGTAACTAATACTGTGATTGACTTTAATTCATTATTTACTTTCTAATGAATGAATGAATTAATTAATTAATGAACTTTCTAATTAAGATGTCATATGTCTACACAGTAGACATTATCCTTATCTGCCCACCGGCAGCACTAACACTACTGTATATTCAAACAGCAGGAACATCTAATATTTTCAAGTTTGTGTTTTACAGGTGGCATTCTTGACTACCATCAAGGATCACTACACTGATTTTCACAGTAATGACTCAGGCATTTTTTTGTATTGCGCAATATTGACACACTTTAAAGCTAGAGCTGGTAACTTTTATGAAAATAACTTTGCTGCAATTGTCAGTATATTCTGAAAAAAGTACATGAGACAGATAATCTGTGAAGAGTTTTATGTCCTTCCTGCCTCTCTATTGCCTCTAAAGGCATCCACTAGAATCCATGGCACCTAAAACAATCAGTCAGAGCTGAGGAGTTTCTATTGCAACTGTTAGTCATGTCGGTCACTGCTCATCAACTGTCAAACTGTCATACTCAGCAGCACTGATCAAATATGAAACAAAATTTTGTTAGTGCATTGCCTATTTCTCTCCTGTAATGTTTTCATAAACACATTTTAATGCACTGTTTAGTTGTAAAATGAGAAAGTTTGTGATCCTGCTGCCATGTTGGAAGCAGTCGACTGAAGTACCAAGCCCTGCCCCCCAGCCAGACCAACTGTCTAATTTTACAGCTAAACAGTCACTAAAATATGTTTCTGAAAACATTTGAGGCGAGAAATAGGTAATGCATTAACAGAACCTTGTTTCATTTTAAGTGCTGCCTAGGTTTGACCGCAGTTCACCAGCATTGATTGACATGATTGGCAGCTGCGTTAGAGTCTCTTCAGCTCTGACTGGTTGTTTTCGTTCACATGCAGTCAGACCATGAAGAGAGCTACAAACAATGGAGCAGGAAGGATAGTGTGATTTTTTTCACTGATAATCTGTCTTATCTAGTGCTGCGTGAATATAGAGACAGTCTCGGCAAATATGGAAAAAGTTATTTTTTCTTTAAAAGTTACCAACTACAGCTTTAATTTCACACCAGGGTTTCAGGATTTTGCCGATTTGTTAGGAAGTTTAATTAAAAAAATTAAGTAAGATTTAAATTTGAAAAACAAATTCTAGATCTAAATTTCAGATTTTAAAGCACTTAAGTAGTTAAATTCCTCCAAAGTTGTATGTACTAATTCTGATTTCACAAGCAGGGACTTAGCAGATGCACCTGAAGGCATTGCTTAGAAAAACAGTTTTTTGTGAGTTGACTGGAAACAAGTTTATCTGTGTGATCTTATTCACATCTACTCTTTAGACTGTCCCGTTTATTTATCTATTTTTTAGTATTTATGAATACCTCGTCAAGTTTATGTGATCAATCAATCAATCAATCAATCAATCAATCAATCAATTTTATTTATAAAGCCCAATAACACAAATCACAATTTGCCTCACAGGGCTTTACAGCATACGACATCCCTCTGTCCTTATGACCCTTGCAGCAGATAAGGAAAAACTCCCCAAAAAAACCCCTTTAACGGGGGTGATATGAAGATCACATGCAAAACTTCCAAAAAATGTTTTTTACCTGCTACTTTTATGTTGCTGTAATCATGATTTGCAAACTTACTGTGTATGTAAAGTAGCATCTCTGCTCCTGCTAGAGACACAAACTCTCTGCTCAGACACAGCAGAGCTGTCAACAGGTGATGCCTTGCAGCACTTCAGATAAAAGCTTTAACAGTTCTGAACAAACAATCTCAATTATGGCTAAAAGGAACAAAAAAACTTGAGCAACAAAATAATGATTACAGGATAGGGCTAAGAGCTATTAGACTGAAGATAGGGAAACAGTAGCTTCGTTAAAGTTTATGGAGGCAGCAAAGATGAGTCACTTTTTGATAAATAAAAAAATCCTTCTACTTGTGAAACAAAATCGGTTTCGCCAAACCTGCCAGGATCTTTGGTACATGTACTGAGATTATTTCTCCAATCATCTCTGGAAAGCTGACCTTGGTGGGGAGCGACTGAGCCTGGACAAAAAGGTCGAATGTAAACTGGTGGAGCTTCTTTACTGTCTGAAACAGATGAAACACAAATAATTGACATCATTTGAATGAACTTTACTACAAGTAGCATTTTGACAATGACTCAGGAAACATAACTCATAACATACGGCACAACCAACTAATGAAAAAATGTGAGGATTGGAGAGCTCTGAATCAGAGTAAACTCATCCATTAGTTTTTTTTTCCACTCTGCAGGACATGATAAGATTTTAAGGTGTCAGATTCTGCTTGTACAAACTTGATGCATTTTTCTGTGGGCTATTAGAGACACAGCATCCAATGTGATTTAATAGCATGCACTGCCAAGAAATGTTTTAGGCAAAGTAACAGATTTGCTCTTGCTTTAGCCTGTTTCCCCTGCATGTTCAATCTGGTCAAATGCAACCACAGATGTCTTTCACAAACTCCATATCTTTTCCTTCATGTGTTGATGTAACAACAGTTAACACATTAGAAACCGTATATCTCACCATCTGGAGAGAGTCCAGGAGTCGGGTGAGCTGGTAGAACCTCTGAGGACAATTGGTGGCCATTTGATAGTTAATGAGGCGATCGAGCTCGTTGATGTAGGTGAGACGCAGTTCATCAAAGCACCTCTGACTCTTCAGACCCTCAACGGGAACTGGTGAAAACAGGAAAACTGTTTTGACTACATGCCCAGCAGATGTCTCTCTACTGCTCGTCAACTTCTGGGATAAAGTAAAGGAGTTTGTTTTGACTTTTTGATGCTCAGTGCACAAGAAAGGACTTACGAATGCTGAAGAGGAGCAAGGCCTTCATGCAGAGGAACTCTTCCTGAGTGACCTGCAGCAGCAGGAACTCCTGTGAGAGATGTCTCATCCGCATGCAGTGCTCATACATGGTGGAAATGTGCATCCGATGTCTGCAAATATAAAAAGGTCAGGATGGGAAATGTGAAATGATGGAATTGTTATATGAAGGCAAATTGCTTTAAATCTTGGACATTTATTCTGTGATGAATAACTGCTGAAATGGAAAGAGTGTCAGAGGTTAGATTTGTATGTAATGAGGACACTGACACTGAAATGTCTGTATAACAATTCCGATTTTTTCTGTTTGATCTTAAACATCTGGAGGAAGACGTTGCAAGGCTGTATAAGCAGCTCTAAAGTCCAGTAAAACGTTTTAGTCATTCATGTTGTAACATTATAAGAGATGATTGAATATTCTATGTTCATCATGGCTGAGCAATCTTCACTTATTTCAACAAGCATGGGAGAAGATGAGTGGGAGAGAAGGCATTGTGATCAAAGTTTGCTATCTCTATTCTGTCTGATGAGTGAACAATTCTGCCTTTATTATGGATGAGGGAAGAGACAGTTTGTAACATTATTAAGGCATGAGGATAGAAATGAAATACACTTAAATAGAGCTGAATGTTCTCCATCTTTCTGGAAATGGATTCAGAGTTTCAGATATGTGGTTGTATAAATGTATAATATCCAGTGACCAGGTTATTATCCAAGTGTTCCACAGATTCTAGATAAGTTCATATAAACAAACTTGGCATGGATAATGATGGAAATGGTTTGCCATTAGGGAAGGTGCTGTTGCTGAGCTCACACCCACCTCCAAACACTGATCACTGAGCTGCTGACTTTAATGTGCCCTATAGCTGAAAATATGTGACTACATTGTAAAAAGCCACCATCAGTCTCACAGCTGCACTTCCTTGCTCAAAATTTCATCAAGTCAATGTAAAAACACTGGTGATATAAACATAGACATAAACCTCATCACCAGTCAGGTCAAAACAACAATTGACTCACCTAAACCAACCACTCTGTATGCAAAATGTAAACTTAGTTAGTATGATTATTGACTTTCCTGCCAAGAGTTCGATGAAAAGATTGACACCACTGTCACCTGGTTTCTGTGGTCCCATTCTCGTAAACAGCTTTGGCCAGCAGCTGGTTATCTTAGCTTAGCATATGGACTGGAAACAGCTAGTCTGTCTCTGTGGGGAGTCAACAAAATCTGCCAACAAGGCTTCTTTCTTTTTTGGTTTTTCCTAACATAAGACAGCCAGCATCTTACACATAACAGTCTTGTTCCTAGCACCTCCTTCTCCATGATGTCACTCACACCATTAAAAAGACAACAAGCTTTGATTGGTCAGGATGGGGATTATGTATAATCTGCCATGTCTCTCAGTCCTAATCTGACACAGTTACCCCTTTTCCACCAACACTGAACTGGTTCTGTTCATGCACGCACAAATCATTTTGAGCTGTTTGGAGTATTCTGACCAAGAATAATGTGCAAAGAACATGAAATGTTGCTTCCCAGCTGGAACCCAAAAAATAGCTTATCTTAGGTTTTCCTTCATCTGGAGTTTGGATGGAGGATGGAGTCTTGCACAAAATAGTTTTATATGTCTCTTTATCATTACTATTTGCTCCATGCTTGTTGTTTTAGATAAAAACATCTGTAATAACAGAAAACCAGAATTGCTGCCTCCAGGTTGCCTATGCAGACCAGTCAAGTTGCAGTTACAGTTTACAGCCATGTCTGTATAAACATGAGTGCTTCACACACATCTTCCCCAGGCAGCACAGATGATTTATAAATGCGTCACAGTTTCATAATCAGTGTCACCCATTCATTATCTGACTAAATATGTCAACCATCTGTTCCTGAGTTATGGCGTTGGGTAATGGCCAGAAAAGTGTTTTTGCAGAACATTATGATGTCACAATGAAGCTGACCTTTGACTTTTTGGACATAAAATGTCATTATTTCATCAGTTTATTCTGTGAGACATTTGTGTAAAATTTTGTCGCAATAAGCATATGAATTCTTGAGTTATGGACAAAGCTGTGTTTTGTGAGGTCACAGTGACATTGACCTCAGCCAAATTGTAATCAGATCATCCTTGAGTTCCAGCGGATGTTTGTGCCAGATTTGAAGATATTCCATGAAGGTCATCCTGAGATATAGAATGAAATAGATGCAAGGTCACAGTGATCTTGACCTTTGACCACTAAAATCTGATCGGTTCATTGTTGAGTCCAAGTTGAGATTCGTGCCAAATCTGAAGAAATTCCCTCAAGATGTTGAGATATTGCATTTACAAGAATGGGACGGACATACAGACGGACAACCCACACATAATGCCTCCAGCTGTCACCAGCATGGAGGCATAAAAAAGCGTGCAGGTAATGCATTGCATTGTGGTAACTGTGATAACAGAAACCTGTTCTTTTACGTGAGAATGTCTCTTTTTTAAACAATTACAGTAAACCAGACAACTGTATGCCTGATGTGACTGTGGAGGGGTTTTCTAAAGGTGAGGTATACAAGTACACTTGTACTTTTACTTGAAAGTGAAAAAGCCCAAAAATCTTTTTGAATCTTTGATTCAGTCTCCAATTACGATAACTTTGCCGTGGTTTTTACCGCTCTTCAAGGGCTTGGCAGGAAAAGGTAAGCTCCAAATTTAGAAGATGGCAAGGGGCACTTCAGTCCATTAACACTTTATGCTCAAATTTATTTATAATAGCTTCAATTATCCACCATTATGACTAATATGGGCACCACCTGCCCTAATTTAGTCCCTAAAACCTGAGCTGCTGATCCACCACACCTTGAAAAAATCATGATATGAAACTTTTTCTTCTTTGGTTTCCAATACGTAGACTTTGACTCTTGCAAAGGTTATGGAAAATGAGATGGAAACAATTACATTTTCCCTGCAATCGTAACCTGAAACTTTCAGCTTCAATCTGTTTGAGATTCCCTCAGGTTTTCCACCTGCTCTGAGCCCACTACTTACTCACAGGTGTTTTCTGTCAGCTGTGAAAGGAAAAATACCTGCTGTGACATCACTGAATTGGGTGTGGCCACAAGTTTGAAGCAAGGAAAGTCCATGGCACTTTTCTGCTCCAAGTCAGTCAGTGTAAATTTTTAGATTTACATAATCAACATAATCTGTTCTGCTTCTTAGTCAACAATAGTGAGCTGCTTCATGGAGAGCTGTCTGAAGGTCTTTATAATAAATGCAATGCTTATGGTTTTACTTTTAATTAACTAATTAATATATATATAAATATTATATATAATATATTAATATATTGATTAATATGCTTTAGAAATTAGAGAGACAATGTCGTTTTGCCTATAAGCAAATACAATCATTGGTTTAATGGAAATTGAAATGAAGAAAAATCCCAAAGTTAAAGTGGCATTCACTGAATTCACACCTCATCTTCGGTCTACTCATCACAGACAGTATTATACAGCCTGTAAAAACAGCTGCATAATGTCTGCTATAGCTGAGAGAGCTTTCAGAAGTCTGGTTAATAGCCATAATGATGTTGTAGTGATAATGTTATTAGGATTATCTCAGGTTTGGGCCTGGAGACTACAGATGCTTTACATACACTCTGGCAGAAAAGGTTAAATGGAAGACACTATTTAATCATGGGCAGATTATGAGATAATAGGGCCCTGGACACAGACATGCAGAGGGCTCCACCACCACTTCTCCACAAGAGCAAGACACACAGACTTTATGGTTGTTTAGCGTCTTTTTGTTATTGTTTTACATCTCTTTGTAGTCATTTTGTGTCTCTTTGTGGTCATTTCATGTCTCTTTGTAGTTGTTTTGTGTCTCTTTGTGGTCTTTTTATGTCTCTTTGTAGTTGTTTTGTGTCTCTTTGTGGTCATTTCATGTCTTTTTGTAGTTGTTTTGTGTCTCTTTGTAGTCGTTTTAAGTCTCTTTGTACTTGCTTTGCAACTCTGTAGTCCAAAAAGTATGATTAAGTGTTTTTGGCCATTCGAGGTTAAAGTCAGGATATCTCAGCCTCTGATGGTTTGATTTTGACCTTTCCTTTTTTAGTCTAATAGGTCTGCCAACTTCATGGAAGCACATTACAAAATCTCTGGAATTACCCTTTACTTTAAATATCAAACTAGTGAGATTGTCCTGAACTAAACTGAAATTCTAGTAACAACAAACTGCAATTTTCTCCACTGCTTGGCTTATATGTAATGTGTGTTTCAGCCACGCCATCTGTTACAGTTTATTTCCACAGAAACTAGGGCCTTACTAGGGGATAAATGGATCTAACTGACTTGCAACTGTATCTGAAGTAGGTAGGAAACACTGTCCTGATGCACACGCTCTTAACATTTTCATCAGAGACCAACACTTTGAAAAAGGAAAAACACAAAAACACAGCACACACAATTATTGCTTATGCAGAGGTATCAGAAAAAAGTTTGTATGAGCATGTACAAAAGCTGGTAAATACAGTCACCTGCAGGAAATGCGTTAGTGTAGACATAAACTAATAGCTAATAACCAATATAAGTCCACAGCTTAAACTAAAAAGTTTACTGATTGCTGCAGCAGATAACAGTAAGTAAATATGGCTGGTGTGCTCACTCCAGCAACCTTTCAGCTACTCTAACCTTTAATTTTTTTCATAAATATGACCTCTTATTGGCCATTTCCACAGAAACTACAACATACTAGTGTAGCCTGCATAGGAACAAAACATATCAAGGCACAGGTGTTACATATGCCATATACTTACAATTTACTACAATATGATGTAGGTTTACATTTTTTTTAAAAAAAGTTTGATAATCTCTAAATGTGACAGATGTATTTACCTGTTCATGCTCTTAAGACCTGAGTCTGGACATTCTCTCAGTTGTAATAAATTTTAATTTTAATCTATTACTGTGCAATTGGGTCCATTACAAATGAATGTACTTTGCAGCATGAAAGCTTGCTATGAGCACTATCTATCAACACCAATCTACAGTAGTTAAATTAGTGATGCTTTTATATATTATATTGTTTTAAAAATATATATATATTGTGTAAAAAAATCCTCTTTACTTGATACCATCAGTTTACACTAGACACTAAATATTTATATTTTTTAAAAGAAATAACATTTCAACATGATATCTTCTACTTTTACAACTCTATGACAGTATACATCAGATGGAACTAAAAAAGACAGTTAATATTCCTCAATAACACTCAGACAGACCTAACCACTGTTGTCTGTCATGAGTAATACTCAGATCTGAATCAGCCTCACCAGGGCCGTGAGAGTTTGAATGCTGGAAACTAATGTTCCTCACTTTAATCTCACAGTAACAAAAGAACACCTAAGGAGGAAATTGGATGAACATGCAACTAAAAAGCCTGCAACCATTTCTGCTTCACATTTCTAAAATTCTAGAGACGTCTTTGTGTTTGTGCATGAGTAGGAGAGAAAATAAGAGAAAGATGGAGAGAGAAAGAGATGAAGACAAAGAGAGACTGATGTCTGTATTATGTACAACAGCACCAGCTTACTCACTGCCAGTGATCTCTATAGATAATGAGGAGCGCAGCACGTTGGTCGCCTGTTGACGAAGTCATTGATTGAATTTAAGAATTTAGAGCTGTACATACTCATTGAACACAAGATCCGGGGCGAAGTAAAGCATCCTGCCATTGACGTTCTTATAGGACCTCCATCCCAGGGCAAACACCATCACCCCCATCCAAGACTGCTGAATGACAGTCATTTGGTCGTCCACATGGAGATTTCTAAAGCCTAAGGGCAAAGATTCAGCATCATAAAATATGACATAATGAAGTATATTTTGTACTATAACCGGTTCTTGTATATTTTACAGTGTTAAAACATTTACATTAAAGGTATACTATGCAGGACTGTCGATCACTGTTTGCGAACACGATTGCCAGCAAAGGTGAAAGTAAAAGCCAACCCCATATTCACTCTCATTAGGCATTTTGCCTCGCTACATTTGTTTGTTTTTTTCAGGCACTGTGTCTCTTGGATGTCTGTTGCTAACAGTCTGGAACCTGGTCACTACCTTTTTATAAAGCCCTGACCTCACCTGAGCACTGTCCCAAACACAGAAAAGAAGAGGAAACAAAGAAAATACAGGCAGAGGGCAGAGTCTTTGTAGAAACCTATACCACCCAACATCATCTTAACTATCACATTAAGTGATAGTTAAGATGGATTACTTCTGTTTGAGGCTATACTGAACATTGTTTTTTTGTTGTAAAATCCTGCATCGTAAATCTTAAAAGTGAAACTCCACCCACAATCTTCTGAGTATCAAACAGCCTATTTTAAATACACAGAGGGAACACACTGGCCTTTCTGGATCTGTTTTAATTATTCTGTTTTTTACTATACCTCTCTGGCAGAGAGTTCTTTGTCTCTATAGATGCAAAGTTCTCAAGAAACTGTAAAATACCTTGTGGGGTTCATCAAGGATCAATCTTAAGGACACTACTTTTGATTTTGAAGTTTCATGGTGTGTAGAGGGATAAGTCTAAAGGCGGGAGAAGAGACAATTCCTGCACACTCTCCTTTCTCTCGCCTAAGGCTGCTTACTACTTGTAAATATACATCTGATTCCTCCTGTTGGTGTCACTGGAGGTCTTTATGTGGCTGTGTCCTGTAATGAAACAGGACCAATGGCGGCTCTTGTATTTAGCCTCTTTAAAAGTTATCAGATTTGTCTGAATAACAAATGATACACTGAGATTTATATCTGTTTATTTTTTTTTAAAATGGCCTTCAGAATTTTTTTTAATAACATTTTGAAGTAAGTGAAAGTGAGTAGTTTAATGTTACAAAATATTTGTTAAGGTTTTTTTTTTTTTTTTTTTTTTTTTTTGCATAAGTATTCAACAACTTTGCTCTGGAAGCTCCAAGTTTACATAGGTGAGAATTATTGCCCTGAATGAGGACACAGTTGTCTCACAGTTGTGTGCAAACCTGTAAAACATAAAAAAAAAAAGCCCTATATTTAAGTATTATTGGTCAGAGTGTGAATCTGAAGGAAGGCTTTGAAAATTAAAACAAAGAACAACAAACAATCCATCACTTTGAAGGAGCTACAGGGTTTAGTGACTGAGAGGCACACGAGTCAGCAACATCAATAGCCTTGCATCACACTGGCCTGTAGGAGGGTGGCTAAAAAGAAGCTTTTTCTCACGACACAAGGTTTTGTGGTCAGATGACACCAATATAGAGCTTTTTGGATGAAATTTAAAGTGCTGTGGGGATGATTTTTCCTCAGCCGGGACTGCAACCTTGTTAGAATTGAAGGAAGAATAGATAGAGGAAAATAAAGAAAGATACTGCTTCAGTCCACTAAATAACTGAAGCTTGGGACAATGTTCACCTTTCAGCAGGATAATGACCCTGAGCACGAGGCTGCAGCAGCACATGAGTAATTACACAACAAATAGGTGAATGTTCTACAAAGGCCAATCTGATCTTAATCTCTCTGAATAAAAACAACTGGGAACAAATCTGGCAGGTAGAAAGGCAAAAATCTTGGAGCCGTCTTTAATCAAAATGAAACTTTAAGGCTGACATTTCATCAAATCTCTTTGTAAAACCTGGAAAAAAAAAGAAAACTAAAGAGTGGCCATTTCTCCCTCTGAGGGACACAAACTGATGCGTGTTTTATATGCAACAAGCTAAACTTTAAACTGTTCCAAAATGCAGGACAGACACATTTGTTGGGCTGTTGAAGCTGTTTGCCACAGGATCTGAGAGCAGTGTAGCATCTTTAAATATGAACTTAAAACCAGCTGTTTTAGCCTGATTTATGATTAGCCTGATTCATGATTTACCTTTTTGTAAAATTGTAGTTAATTATTTTGTTGTATTTATCTTTAAAGATGTTTTTCCTCCCATCTGTTTTTGGTTTTATTGTATCTATTCTACTAATTTAGAATTTCACTTTTTTTCTCATGTGCATTAGTCTCTGATTGTTTTACTGTCTTATTCCTTGTAGTTATTATCTGGTTGTACTGCAAAATTATCAAAACATTTTCAGATGTTATCCATCCAGCTTTTGTCAATCATTTAAAAAGGAGAGAAGAGTGATTTTCTGTGACTAGAGAGTAACTGAACAGCTTTTCTATTTTGAATTTCCAGGGAATAATCAAGCTATAGTGCGGTAGTCCCTCTGGTTAGCTTTTCCAGGTTTATGAGCACAATCAAACTTTTTTCCTCATTCTATATTTTTCATTTCTAACAAAAAAGAAGAAAGGCCACTGATGTCTGGAGTTAGATTAAAGAGCTGCAGCAGTGTCACAAGAAGACTTGTTGTCTGCATTGTGTCACTGGTTTGATAGCTCATATGAGATGGAATCATATTTATTATTTCTTATCATACACGGACAAATTTCCTCCAAACAGTATTCAAAGGTGCTATAATCAATATTTTTATATTAAAGATGGATCAAATAACTACTTGTACGTAAAAGGGGGTGATAAATCCACAGAGGATTATCACATTATTAGCTGACTCTGCAGGTCCCCCATGCTCAGCAGTGTGTTTTAACATCTTTAAGCTCAATGTTTTGATTTTATGGCTCACACTTATACTGTTTTGATTCACTCTCTGTTTAACCGAGGCTGTTTTCAGACAGCATCATGAACCCACGGTACAGTACCTGTCCACTACCTGACCAGCACCAAATAGCAAATGGACACAGTTAGCTGGTGAACACAGCAAAGCATTTAGCAGCCAAAGAGCCAGATATTAACTAGAATCACCACCCTGTGGTTGTATGCCTCCGCGTACCAGTCAAGTTTCTCTTACCGTTTTCATACATGCCTGTGAAAACATAGATTCTTCCTCCCGGCAGCACATAAGATCTAAACAATCAGCACAGTTTCAAGGTGGACACCCAACATTAGTGTCACCAATTCAGTATCTGACCAAATGTCTCCCCTTCTGTTCCTGAAGTATTACAATGGCTAATGGGCAAAAAAGTGTTTCATGCAGAACATTATGATGTCACAGTGAAGCTGACCTTTGACCTTTTAGATAAAAAATGTCATCACTTCATTCTTTTATCCTATTAGACATTTGTGTGAAGCTTTGTCATAATCAGCATATGATGGCCAAAAACATATTTTGTGAGCTCATACTAACCTTGACCTTTGACCCACTACAAAATTCTATTTAGTTCATTCTTCAGTCCTTCAGAGATCTGTGTCATATTAAAAGAAATTCCCTTAAGGTGTTCTTGAGATATTGCATTTACAAGAATGAGACAGACGAGGTCACAGTGACGTTGAGCTTTGACCTATCACCACCCAAAATCTAATCAGTTCATTGTTAAGTCCAAGTGAAAGTTTGTCATGAATTTGAAAAAATTCCCTCAAGCTGTTCTTGAGATATTGCGTTCATGAAAATTGATGCAAGGCCACAGCGACCTTGACCATTGACCCTTGATCACCAAAATCTATTCAGTTCTTCCTCGAGTCCAAGTAAACGTTTTAGCCAAATATGAAGAAATTCCCTCAAGGTGCTTTTCTGATATCACGTTCACAAGAATGAGACAAACAAGGTCTCAGTGATCTTGACCTTTGAACTATGACCACCAAAACGTAATCAGATTATTGTTGAGTGCAAGTAGACATTTGTGCCAAATTTGAAGAAATCCCCTCGAGGCATTCTTGAGCTATCCCATTCACAAGCATGGGACGGACAGACGGACAGACGGACAGAGGGACGGACAACCCAAAAACATAATTGCTCCAGCCGTAGCTATTGCTGGTATGGAGGCATAAAAATCAGCTCATTAGCTAGTGTCCTACCTGGCAATCCTTTCGCCCATTTGACCACTTTGACCAGTTGTCTCTCTCCCAGCTCGTTGAGGCTGGTGAGCAGAGTGGCAGCCGAGTCTGGTTGGCCGTAGTCGTGTCCTGCATTCACCACCTCAGGCTCAATGGACTCCAGGATGTTGAGGAAGACCATGGCGGAGTTGGTGTTCAGACCTAATTTAGGAGAGATGTTCTGGACAACCTCTGATGAGTCCTGAAGAGGATGATCTTCATCAGGGTTCTTCTGTTGTCCAATCTTCTTCAGTTTACGAGCTACAAACAAAAGCAAGAAATTACGAATCTGATCATTTATTATTCACTATTACTTTTTGGCTATTTTGTCACATAATCAGTAGACAAGCAAGCTTGTTCTTCAATCTCCAATCTTACAGATGTGTTCACAAATTGAATAAACGTCTAAGTGTCAGGTGTATAATCCCTTCAGTTTAGGTTTGACTGGTGAATCCATTTGATCCATTTGATTGGTAACTGATGAATCCAGCTGTGTCTGCAGCCATAGTTCTGCCTGCTTTAATTGCACATCTGGACCTATTACAAGTAAGTACAATGCTAAACAAACTGCACATACATTATTCATACTTTGGCTAGTTGTTTGTCTTTTGAACATTAGAGTAAAAACCTGTCCTAAGATTTAATGTTAGTCTACTTTCCAAATCATTTGTTAGAAATGTCTCATACTGCAGCTGCGGGTTTTAAGTAACCTTTTGAGGGAAATATCAATTTTACCCAACAATACTCAGACTGATCCACTAATAGCTTTAAAGGTATTGAATCATATTTCGTTTGAAAGAAAATTCTCTGAGCAGATGAGCCTCATCTGGTGGAAAGGCTTGTGGTCATCATGTATGAGAGCTCACTGCTGATGCAGATTTATAAATGATTTTTCCCCCTTGTTATCACAAGTTTTCTTGCAAGAAGGTTCATATCCTTGAACTATACTGTGCACTAAATCATGCATACCATGCATTACATTTACATTTCCTTATGTACTGCAAAGCATATAAGGCTTAAGAGACAACAAATTTCTTTCTCCACAAGTAGCCTGCAGTGTACAGTAAGTAGTGTTACAACCACAACAGAATAATCATCTTTTGCTAAACAGATGCCCAATACAATTGTTTCTCTCACAGACAGGTTTAAGACACCAACCTTAGACTGCACTCAGTAACTGACAGCTTTATCTCTACAAGTTATAGAGCTGCAGACAGTTAAGTTTCAGCTTAGTCTGTTATTTCAGAATGATAAAAAAAAAAAAGTTACAGACAAATACAAATGGTGACTATGTGCCAAGTGCATTGAAGAACAAACATTTCTGTTGTTCACTTATCTTTAACTTCAATTGTTTTCAAAGACGGATACACTCTTTAGAGTAATCTCATTCATATAAAGATTAATCCATTGTTGCTTTAGGACGTTAAAAAAACTCAGAACTTCAACATATGAGGTGACATAGGCTATAATTCATTTAGTGGATTATGTCAGTGTTGACTGAAAAGTAACTAAAAGTTAATTGTAATGCACCTTCCTCCAGCAGCTTCTTTGTAGAGAATGTCTAATTAAAACTTCAGCCTGACTTTGAGTGCAGTTAGATAAATATTGAATTGCCAGTTATAGACACGACTTAAGTCTCTCTCAAAAGTAGCAGGGTTAAAAGACAATTGTGGATTATATAAGAAGTTTAATTGGCAAGTCTCACATTTTCATGTCTGATCCGATGACAAATATTTCAAATAAAAATGGTTAATTAAAAATTCCTCTCCAGGATTCTCAATTGTGACACAGGCAGACATTTGATATTTGCAGAGTACAGTGTAAATAGGTTCAGTTGAGTTAACCTTAAGATCCCCATGCTTGAGTTGAAGCCAATATAAACAGGAGGTTGACATCCAACTGAGGGTATTCCAGAACAATTTTTGTTAGACTCAGAGGAACAACTAAAGGAATACTTCACCCCAAAATCACAATTTTTAAACTAATTCTTCACCCTGCATTACATTGAATTTGTTAAGAAAACTTTGTTTTTCTCACATGCCTCCACGATGAACGAAGAATCCAAAAATGGAGAACATTGTTTATGAATTTAACTTAAAGGGGACCCATGTTAACAGCAGCACAACTATATCAAAACATTCATTTCTGTTTAGTTTTGTTCAAAGTACTTTCCAGATACATGCTTTTTTTTTTTGCTAAAACCTTATTATATTAAACACTTCTACACAAACAGTCTCACGCACGGACAAGTAGGCTAGCATGCCTGAGCAAACACCACAGACAGTAAAAATAATGAAAATAGTCTCTGTGACAACACCACAAGGAGCTCAATGGGGGGCTCCTGGCTCAAGTAATCTAAAAATGGGAAAAGAGGTGAAACATGGGTGGACCTGAGGAGGGCAGAATGAAGTCTGGTTGCTGAAACACATCCACCTTGCTGGAAGCTACCAAGCTAGCTAAGGCTAACAAGCTAGACTGAGAAACTAGGCTGTATGCTACAATCCTAGACGGTATTGTAAGTTTAGTTTTCATTGAAGTCACACACATTAACACATCCACAATTAAAAAGTACAGTTTGTGTTAGAAAATGTTACACTGCTTTACACAATTCCTCCTGAAATGCAGCCATAATGTTTGGTCTGCAGTGTTTTCACCAGTGTGGGCCTATACAGCGCCTTGCAAAAGTATTCACCCCCCTTTGCTTTTTAACTATTTTGTTAGATTCCAACCTGTAATTTAAATGTTTTTCATCTGAAAATTTCATGTGATGGATCTGCACAAAGTTATCTAAGTTGGTGAAGTGAAATGAGAAAAATATATATAAAAGAATAATTTAAAGAAATAAAAAAGTGAAAATTGTCATGTGCATATGTATTCACCCCCTTTGCTATGAAGCCCCTTAAAAAGCGCTGGTGCAATCTATTACCTTCACAAGTCACAGAATTAGTTAAATGAAGTCCACCTGTGTTCAATCTAAGTGTCACATGATGTGTCAGTATAAACACACCTTTTCTGAGAGGCCCCAATGGGCTGCAACTCCACTTAGCAAGAAGCATCACATCATGAAGACCAAGGAGCTCTCCAAACAAGTCAGGGACAAAGTTATAGAGAGATACAAGTCAGGACTGGGTTATAAAAAAATATCTACATCTTTGATGATCCCCCGGAGCACCATCAAATCCATAATCACCAAATGGAAACAACATGGGACCACAACAAACCTGCCAAGACAGGGCCGACCACCAAAACTCACAGACCGGGCAAAGAGGGCATTGATTAGAGAGGCAACAGAGAGACCAAAGGTAACCCTGAAGGAGCTGCAGAGTTCCACAGCAAACACTGGTGTGTCTGTCCATAGAACCACAATAAGCCGTACACTCCATAGAGCTGGGCTTTATGGAAGAGTGGCCAGAAAAAAGCTTTTACTTAGTGTTAAAAACAAGAAAGCACGTTTTGAGTTTGCCAAAAAGCATGTGGCCGACCCCCTAAATGTATGGCAGAAGGTGATCTGGTCAGATGAGATTAAAATTGAACTTTTTGGCCACAAAGGGAAATGCTATGTCTGGCAGTAACCCAACACATCCCATCACCCCAAGAACACTGTCCCCACAGTGAAACATGGTGGTGGCAGCATCATGCTGTGGGGATGTTTTGCAGCAGCAGGGACTGGGAAACTGGTCCGCATAGAGGGAAAGATGGATGGTGCTAAATACAGGGACATTCTGGAGTAAAACCTTGTTTCAGTCCGCCTGTGATTTGCGACTGGGACGGAGGTTCACCTTCCAGCAGGACAATGACCCGAAGCATACTGCTAAAGCTACGCTTGAATGGTTTAAGGAGAAGAAGTTAAATGTGTTAGAATGGCCTAGTCAAAGCCCGGACCTCAATCCAATTGAAAATCTCTGGTTTGACTTGAAGACTGCCGTTCACAAGCGGAAACCATCCAATTTGGGGGAGCTGGAGAAGTTTTGCCATGAAGAATGGGCAAAAATCCCAGTTGCAAGATGTGGCAAGCTCATAGAGACTTATGAAAAGAGACTTGCAGCTGTAATTGCTGCAAAAGGTGGCTCTACAAAGTACTGACTTCAGGGGGGTGAATAATTATGCACACTGAAGTTCTTTGTTTTTGGGCCTTTTTGTTGTTTGCTTCACAATAAAAATTTTTTTTCACATCTTCAAAGTTGTTGGCATGTTCTGTACATGAAATGATGCAAATGCTCAAACAATACATTTTAATTCCAAGTTGTGAGGTTTTAAAACGTGAAAAATTCCTAGGGGGGTGAATACTTTTGCAAGGCGCTGTATGTGACTATTAGGCCTACTTAAACCCATTTAACCCAGGTACAAGGCGGAGGAATGACAACCACATCGAGTCCAAAACATATTTGTCTTTATTACATAAATCACAATATCTAATACAAGTCCTGGGTTGAGGTTGGCTATGACAGGGCTGTACTGGGCGTCAGGGATTAAAAGTGGAGGCGCCGTCCAGTGCACCAGTGAAACAGCTGAGGCAGCAGCAGGCCGACCACTATACCTGGCCAGGATGTGGTGGCTGCTGACTCACTCTCTTATGATATTCTCCACCTCTCTACCTACAGGAGACAACATTGTTTTATCATCCTAAATTCTTTGCTGCCTGCAGGTGTAATAGCTGTGGCTAGCATACACTCCTGTTAGCATCATTAGCACAGCTGGGCTTGCCCAAGGCTAATTCATGAGCTGCCTAATTAGCTATTAGCTATTTAATGAGCTATCTCACCAAATACAAATGGAGGCCAGACTTCTCGGATGGACTGTTGGGACAATAACTGCACAGCAAGCCATATTATTTGTCTGACATTTGCATAAAAAAACTCAATACACCAACAGCACAAACACAGCCGAGAAGTCAAGTGACTGGCCAAGAAGATGGTCAGCAGGCAGCTTGTAGCTCATGGTGGCGTCTACCTGTCACGCAAAGTGGCCATGCCCTTAATGATGTATAGCTTTAAGCTTTAATAAAATTTGAATGAGTGAGTTATAGAAAAATGACTGGACTGGATGAAGGAGACCGATGTTTTGGTATAGTTTTGCTATTGTTCAACCTGGACCCCTCTTATTCCAATTCACCAAGAGTTATCTCGGTTTTTGGATTCTTTGTTCACCATGGAGGCATGCAGAAAAACAGTGGGTGAGTAACTTTAATTTGATTCTTTTATTAGATATTGTTAATTGTCTGCATAAAGAGTCGGTATACGATGATGGACCAGCACACTGAG